GTACAAAGTACCGGGCAAATAGCTAATATAAATAGTTATATGTATCTAATATAGTATAAAATACCACTAACCTACATTACATATAAGCAGGTAGGTAGGTAGGCAACCGTTATCTTTTGGAGGGGAGCTCGGGCTCGGTGTGCCCAAAGGGCTGTATACCTGAGCTGGTCCCTCGATGGGTGGGGCGCGCCCTTTCTGCCCCGATACAATACGTTTGAAGTCCTACTAGTTATTATTAATTGACGTCGTCTAAACAAAACGTTACAAAATTAATTTCAAAGCAATATGCTTCGTAGTTCTATTTTCAAAAGTAAGATGTTTTCAGTTAGAAATTCTCATGTTATGTCTCCGTACCCTGTTTTTTCTTTTATTTCACTTGGTAGTGCGATAACGTCGCGATTTTCACCCGATGTTATTCTGTATTAGGTGCCATATTAGTTTGATTACGTCTGAATGTGCCTTTTTCTTTATGGACTAAAAATGTGCTAGTTGCGTTAGAAAATCTACTTAAAGATACACAATTTCACGTTCCAAATTCAAATACTGTGAATGTAATGCATTTATGAAATATTTCATTGTCCATTCCCGTTTTCTACATATCGTAGGCTTTTCACGTATTGTATGACGTAAGAGAAGTCAAAGTTTTGTAACGATATTAAGATGTATTTAAAAATATTTTTAACACGTAAACCTAATGTGGTTCACATTAGGTTTACGTGTTAAAAATATTTTTTAATAGTAAAAATAAAATTTAATAGAATGAAAAAGTACCTTCTGACTACTAGATCTGAAGGGATTTAAACCCATATCTCTCTGCTATCCGGACTAAAATCATGATATACTTAATAAATGTTGGCGTTGTCAAAAAATACAGCAGCGTATGGCAACAGTGATCCGTTTCTTGTATCATGCCCCGAACGTTTACATGACAATTCGGGACGCATTGTTCTGTTTATACGTGTTCTATGGGCAAGCGATAAAAAATAAGTTCTTTTGATTACTTTAAACAAGTAGATAATGACCTCGAGTTCGAACCATGATTAAACTCTAGTTACATCAAATTCACAAGCGGAGTCATAGGCATCGTCTAGTTTACAAGTTTCTATGGGGGGAGGTACTCCCAGTGGGCGCTGAAGCTTTTTAAGGAGGCGGTAGCGGGTCCAGGGGCAAATGGGGGACGGCAAGGCCTAAATGGGGGCGGCGGCGTTTTGATATTAATATAGTAATAATTATTTTGTTAATATAATACATTTTGATTAGTATTTTGATATAGATATATATATAAGGGTGAGTAATATATAGGAATATCTATATGTTGTATTGACAAAATTTATACATATATGGGCTCAATAACAGATATATTAGATATCAGTTATTTAGTATATAATATCGAACAGAAGAAACCGTTCGAATTATCCGGTATGGGCGATATCGCAAATGGTACTAATCAATATTTATCAGAACTCAATATATAGTTACATATCAAATATATTACCAATCTCTAACTACTGGCTTTACCCGCGTTGATTCGAATAAAGAATGGCCTATCTGTTAATGTAAAATGTAACTTATCTATGTACCAAATTTCTTTCAAATCTGCCTAGCCAAACTTTTATAAATTTCCAAATGTTATTTACAAATTTTCACATGAATGGATGGTAAAATAGGAAAGTTTGTAAAAATAATGCTATTCAAACGAGCTTTTAAACTGCTGAACGAGTTTCAATGTAATTTGGTACGCAGAGAGACCAAATCTTGGACTAACCAACGAAATCTTTCAAGATTTTGCCTTTCTGCTATTATTTTTTCTTGAAGTGTTTTGTTTTTCTTCATATGTCCCTACCTAATTTTTGTATTCCTATTTTAAAATTTTGAGACAACCTCTTACCAAAACTAATGTAGAATTTTGGACTAAATCTTTTCATTCAAAATATAACTTGACAAAAATATTGATTAATTGACGCGTTAGTATGTTATTTTTTATGGTGATTTAAAAACTTTTACACGAATACTGTTGAATTGTAAACATCCCAGTATTTATATTTTAATTCTCTTAAGTTTTGTGCGTGTTATAATAGTCGAATTTACATAGCAACACGGCTGTATTATGGGCGTATTTTGGTACATAGCGTAGACTGTCTGCTACCTCATAGGGGTGGTGGGAAAGGAATTAGATTCTGAGCCCACCCCAAAACAGCCCCGGATTGCCAAAATAGTCTTCGATAATAAATCGGTGTGAGGTGGAGTTATGTTCGTTACATATTTTGTTTAGAATATTGCAATAAACATACAGTCCCAATAGCAACGTGCTTCCAAACGACTTCGAAAAAAAAAAAAGGTTTTGAATTCGGTTGTATTTTTTTTATTTTTGTCGCCTCATAACTCCGTCAGTTCTACGCCGATTTGTAACATTCTTTTTTTTTATCTGAGAGGATATACTTACAGATTGGTCCCATATAAATTTTATCAATCGGTTCAGTAATTTAATTGTTAGACCAAAACAACCGTTACCACAATCTTTAATTATTGTGTGTGTTAGGTATCACGTAATTTATGTAAATAGGATTTTTAAAACTTAAAAATTGTAGGTTTATTCCTATTTATTTCTATAAAGTGTATGATCAGTGAGCCTATTAGTTACTTTAGCTAACTATTGCTGTATGTCAGGCAGACCTCCACGCGGTCTCCCCTTTAAAACTATAGTGGTTAATTCTTAAAGAATTCAGTACGATGGACCAACTGACCTACTTTCGTTCTCATCTAGCCCCGCCAGCGTATACCGATGGCGCAGGCGAGGTTACACTATTTCTTTGTTGTCCATTAAAAAAAAAGCTCTCGATCATCATGATATTGCATCATATGTCGGTCAAATCGAATTACGTATCGAAATTAAAAAAAGTTATTTGTAACCTCTCTTAAGGAAACGTATCAAGAGAGATAAAGGAACTCTTATAGTGCGACTTTGTCTGTCCGTCCGTCTGTCCGTTTGTCGCATTACTATATTTCAATAACTACTAATGTTATTTACTAATGATTAGAAATTTGAAATTGTTTTACATTTTGTTGGCCAACAATATATTGCAATGTAAATAATTATTTTCATTGCTAGGAAGTACAAAAGGGATACTCAAAATTTTAAAATTAATTTACAAATGTGATAGAAAATGTTAGGAATACCCGATTTGAAAACCTTTTTGAAGCCGTTTGAAAAACACACGGCAGTGAAATTACAGGGTATACAGGCAAATTGCGTTTGCCCGCAAGAATAGCAACTTGTGAGGTTCATACATTTTGTGATAGGTGGTGCTGTTCGTATCTATATGGAGTGAAATCAAAATTCTTAGAGCATACTTTGATTTAACCCTTTTACTGGTGGTGGCAATGTGTGTGCCACCAACATTTTTATGATTTTTTTCCACTTTGTAGCACCAATACCATACTGGTGTTGGCAAGGATATTGCCACCATGTTTTTTTCTTCCACTAAATATGAATATTTTTTTTTCTTTAATAAAAGTTATTAAAGTACCCACAATAAACCCAAAAATCGAGTTTTTAATTTTCCGAGACACAAAATTGCTTCTACCAGTTAAGTAAAGGGTTAAGAACAGTAATGCATCGACTTACGCTATCCCTGATTTACACAAACTCGGAGTTACGCGATTTTCAAATCTTATCAATTAGATTGTTTGAACGCTACACAACTCTAGATTACTTCTGCCACACTATTGTCAAGCTAATGTGCATATTCGAAGTGTCCCACAAAATGGATGCGCAGCAAGGAGCCAGGAGCTCACGGAAATGCGTAAGCAATTATACCTTGATTTATGCGAATTCGACTTACGCAGTTATCCCTCAGTCCTACCTGTCATGTAAATGCAATGGAGGGGAGAAGGGATTGTTAGTAATGGGGGTTAGCAATTTCATTGCTAGTAATAAACCCTATCAAGTCGACCCCCTCGCTGTTCCCCCTGGAAACCATCATGATTGATTTATTGTTGAATTTGTCACGATGGACTAATTGACCTGCTTCATCCTTACCTATCATCCTTCACTGGTGCCCCACCAGTAAATGCTGATCGCGTAGGCGGGGTTACCATTCCATTATCATTCAATTAAAAATATCACGTAAATAAGAGGTATCACTGTAGGTATTCTATTATATATTTTTTAAAGTAGAGATTTGTTTGTTTTTTTATTAGCTTAAATTTTGGTAATGATACATTTTTTGTAAAAACTTATAGTTTTTTAGTTATTTATGAAAAACCGCTTTAAAACATGTATTTTTATCACGAAAAATCACAATCTTTGTGATCTTTAATGACTCAGAAAGTATTGATTCATTTCAAACACTTTATATAACAAATTTTGCTTAGAATTTGTCTCTCTATCGATTCCTGGGGTTATTTTTATTAAAATAATTTTCACCCCCGAGAAGGGTTGGCATGCATCCCCAGGGCAAAAGCGCAAGTTGCCACTATGTCACTTTTGTTTCTTAAGGTATCCCCCACCTACTCACCAATTTTCATGAAAATCGATGGAGATTCAACGAAATCGGAGGATCTTCATTGACTGTACTAATTCTTAAATTATTGATTTTTTTATTTACAAATATTCTGTCTATATATTAGCTGACCCAGCAAACGTTGCTTTGCTATATAAATTTTTTTTTCTAAATAGGAATATCCTAATCACCTAGTGATATGAAATGTACTTTACGACTTATTCTCATACCTATTTAAATTACATAAAAGATTTCATATAAATAAGTCGAGCCTTTTCTTAGGAGTTTGACCACAAACATCGTGATACAAGATTTTTATATATAATCTTTATTGCATTCAGAAATATATTAATAACATGAATTATTAGAAATAATCTGAGCAAAGGTGAATATATCTCTGAAAGAATTCTCTCAGTCAACCGACACTAAATTGTTTAAAAAATGTTACTAAAACTGATTCGACAAGCGCTTGTAACAAATTAAACATTTTCATTCCAGTATTCTACAACACGGAGAAACTGTTCAACCATATGAAGACGCACATGCAACAGTACAGCGCTGGGAACGGTAGCGGCTCCCCAACGCACGCTGGACGAGGGGACGCCGACTTACTCGTGAGTTAATAACCGTCTGTTTAAAATTAACCATAATTGTCTAGTACTGTGTGTATGCACCTTATCATTATGACTTGTCAGGTCTTAACATGGAATTATTTATACCTATTAATATTGTATAAGTGCTAAAGTTTTTAAAGATGGATGGATGTTTTTTTTTTTATTTATTTATTCATTAGTATAAATATGTATACATGGCGAACTTAATGCTAAAAGCATTCTCTCAAAGCAGTCAACCATAGGGAAGTGTCAGAATACTCGAATGCGGTACTACTACTTTTTGTTAGTTTTTCACGAATAAACTGCTAAACAGGTTTGAATAAAATATGGCACATATATATATATATATATATATATATATATATATATATATATATATATATATATATATATATATATATATACACACACATATATAGGGGTTTTTATGGATGATAATGGAATGGTAACCTCGCCTGCTCTATCGGTATACGCTAGCGGAGCACCAGTGATAGTAATAGGTGAGAATGAAAACAGGTCAGTTAGCACATCGTGACGAATTCCACAAGAATAGACCATGATGGTTTCCAGGGGGAACCGCGTGGATGTCGACCTGTTAAGGTGTATTGCTAGCAATGGGGCTGTTATACCTCATTACATTCCATTTGGCTTTTTTATGGTATTATTTTTTCTTTAATCTCTTTTTATACAGACATCCGTCAAGTTTATTATAAGAACCTTTTTTTTTGTTTACAGATAGAGAACACTTTGGACCTGTTAATAGAGAAGCCGATGAACCCGCAGACCACGAAAGCAGACCGGCCCCACGAGTGTCATATATGTCACAGGAAGTTCAAACGGAAACAGCATCTAAAAGTGCACGGGAACGTGCACCAGCGACAGCAGGCCACTATATGGTGCTCGCTCTGTAAAGAAGGTTTGTATCTATCTATTTATTTGTTTAAACTTTAATGCACAGCGAAACTATGTACGTATAGTGGACTTAATACCGGACAATGTTCTCTACCAACCATTGAGCAAACAGAGATATAATTTTTTTTTATACCACTGAGGTGGCAAACAAGCATACTCTCTCGTCTCTTGGGAAAACCTCGGCAGGGAGCTCATTTCATATCCTGAGTGTATTTGTACAGTATATGTAATAATTAGGCAGTGCGTTATTGAATGGAGGAAATATAAAAAGTAATAATCTGGTGTCTATTTAAATAACTCGCCAAACTATTTAATTTAATGTTAAAGCTAGCTTTCAGTGTTAACTTCGTACACGTGGATTTCATAAGTAGGGAAAACAAATGAATCTTTTCTAGATGGTGTGTCAATGAAAAAACATAGATATTAAAACATTAAAACATAGATAAATTGTGTGCTAATACAAACATACTTTGTTAAATAAATATATCTTTATTTTATATTATTAATGAATTAATAATTAATGAGTATACTTTATTTGCATTATACAATATAGGGAATAGGCAAGACAATAAATTCATACATTTATTATTTATATATATTTTTATATACCATATTATAAATAAGATTATAATATTACTGTAATAAGGCGATCTTATTGCTGTAAGCAATCTCTTTAAGATAACTTAAGGGTAACGAATTAATAGTTGTACAAGTAGGTACGATAATATTGTTTAATTAAGCAAGTTTGGCATAACAGCGTAAAGTATTAAGGAAAATAATTATAAGTACCTATTATCAAATTCAAAAACAAAATTGTTCATTATAGTTATATATTAACGAATACATACATATGTATTAAATATATACATAATACTAGAACAAATATATATATTAAAGTTAAACCTTCAGGAATACAACTATAGAAATAGCATCTAATTTGGTACAGTAGTTTTTACGTGATGCCAAAATAAACATGCAAACAGACAAAATTTCTATTTTTGTGGAAGCATTTCTATAGAGACACTATTTATATAATCTAAAGTTAACATGCACTTCGTTCAATACAGGATTTGTCAGCAACCATCAGTTTGAGACCCATGTGTGTGTGGTGAATCAGGACGGCAGTGAAAATGGTGACACAACGCCGGCAAACACAACGCAAGAGGCCAAGAAAGAGAATAAATACCCCTCGGACTGCATACAAGTAAGTACAATAGCTGGATAGATATATAATTTATTTGCATCACTTACAGCGCACAAATAAATAACATTAGATAGTGGTATATACCTAAAAAAAAAAATCATATACACAAAGAAAGTACACAAAAGAGGTAAGAATTTTTTTCTTAAGTGTACCACAGTAACACAATATAGTCAGTTTATTGCTTTGGCCTCAAAAGAGCAAAACACTGATATTCTACTGTGGCCAAATACGAAAAGACACTCCTGGGAGGAAAGGGATTGTTAGTAATGGAGACTAAAAATCCCATTGCTAGCAATATACCCAACCAGGTTGACCTCATCGCGGTTCCCTCTGGAAACCGTCGTGGTTAATTCCTGATGAATTCATCATGATGGGCTAACTGGCCTGTTTTCATTCTCATCTGTCACCCTTCACTGGTGCCCCGCCAGCGTATCCCATTAGCGCAGGCGGGGTTACCATTCCATTTTCACCAATCAAAAAATAAAAAATACAAAAAGACAGTAGTATGTTAACAGAACTTAATAGGTGACCGAGTTTACTTGAAATTATCACAGAAACACTCTCTAATTTTTTTTTTAATTATAAATAGTCTCCCAACGCACCACATTGAGGCAACGTACCCAAGATACTGGTAGCATTACCTCTTTGGATCCCTTAACATATCTTTTGCGCAAAGTAGCTACCACCTCTTGGGTCACCTCGATGAGGCGCGCTGCGATCGTCCGCTAGAAATGTTTTGCATCTGAGCCTCACACGCCCATAGTCTCTACAGTAAATGGTAAGCAATAATAAGACCCCTCCAGATGTATTTACGCCCCTCATTGTTTCCGCTGTCACTGTTGCAAAAATAAATAATTATAGATGGGAATTATAGAGTGATTCAATAGGAAGGTTTATATGCATAATACATGCGTAATATTGTAGAGAAACACTGATAATTTTAAAGGTTTCTATCGTGATGTGATGTAATGTGCACCCGTGCGAAGCCGAGGCAGGTCACTAGTATATCATATAATAAATAGAACTTTATATCCTTATTCACACGGACAAAGCTGCGAGAAACAGTGTGTATAATAAATTTCCAATGAACAGTGTTTTTTTTAAGGGATGACAGTGGAGTGGTAACTCCGCCTACGCTAATGGTATACGCTTGCAGGGCACCAGTGAATGATGATAGGTGAGATGAAAAGGCAGGTCAGTTAGCCCATCGTGACAAGGAATTCAGCACGATGGTTTCCAGACCACGTGGAGGTCTACCTGACAGGATATATTGCTAGCAATGGGAATGGTAGTCCGCATTACTAATAAATCCTTTCCCTCTATGTACAGGTGGTAATGGATGAGGGCGATCAGGAGTCGTCTGCGATGCTGGTAGAGGAGGAGCAGCTACCGGTGCCGCAGCGCGTCTTCGTGTGCAAATACTGCAGCAAGCCGTTCAAGCGCAAGGACCACTACAAGATACACCTGCATATACACACCGGCGTCAAGTCGTTCTTCTGTCCGGAATGTGGCAAAGGTATATTCTATGAAGTATCTATATCCGTGAAGCAGTTGTGTTTGCATGGCTGTGTTTCGATTTGAAGGGTGGGATATGGCGTGAATTTACTGGGTACAGAGGAATAACACCTGAGTCCTCAGGAATGGCAACGCATGGGGGGTATCATGGGCGAAACCCACTTTCCATCAGGTGGGCCGTCAGCTTGTTTGCCATTCTAAATTGTATAAAAAAAAAATTCTATTATATTCTTTTAACATAGGTCTTCTCAAAACCTACTGCAGGCACCAGTGCCTAACAAAACTGGTATCATATATGTAATTAATTAATTTATTTATTTATTTATAAAGACACACCAACAATATGCTCACAATAATTAAGTAGACAATATACAATGTTATTAGTAAGTAAAAGAGAAAAACTACTATTACAAAATGCTTAAATCTAAGTTTGAACAAAAAAATCTTACTCCTCACTACCAAGCTTATATATGAACATATCAATTAAAGGTGTATACAGCTCTCACAGACAAGCGTCAATGTACACTAACTAACAATTATATAATTAGAAAAGACCTAACTACCAATCCATATTATTAAGTCTAGTAAACTGCACTAAAGAATTACCAAAGATGTCGATATCATGGTCAACGTTTACGGCTTTATTATACGATGATAACATTCTGTTGAGGGGAGAATTGGATCCTAAGTTAGTACGACAAGCCTCAATTGAACCTCAAACTCTTAGTTTTTACTATCTTTTGTGATGAGAAAGAAAGAAGCCATTCATTCATCCCTTCATTGTCCAGATTCATAGTATCTAGATGGGTTACTTTAATCAAGTACATTTTACTTCACAAGTTAAAGAAAGTACTATTTCCGTGTGGCCCCAGCATGGAATAATCCATCCGTTTTTTTCCCGTGGGAGGCGGCTAAAAGAACTTAATGATCGAGGGATTGGCAGAAGCGTCCCTCTTTAAACATCACCAAAGTCTAACTGCGGTTGCCAACCCGCCTGCCAAGCGTTGCAACTACTGGCAGAACCTTCCAATAAAAGGAGGCCTATATTCAGCAGCGGACAGCTGATATAATGATGATTGTCCTATCAAAAACAAAGTATTTTGTCTTTTTCTCAACGACCTCTCCCCAAAGGTTGTCTGGAAGAGATCGCTTAGCAATAAGACCGACTTTTGTATCACTTCTCATTAATATTTACTGTATTTGTTATTTCTCTTTTTACTTGGAGCAATAAAGTGTAAATAAATAAATAAATATTTTTAACAAAAATTGTAGCCAGTGTCACTTGCGATAATGTTAGAATTGTAATTATACTCCATACATCAAAATCTGTTCACGCATTTAGGAATTATGGTGTAACAAACATACATAACTTATACATAATACTCTAATTATAATAATAATATTATTCTTTTTTTGGACAGTCAAAAATTTGCTCCTCAAGTAGACTCCATTTAAAAGTATGAGATTCCAAATTCATCTGTATTTTCTTCTATTTATGTAATGCGATATCTTTGTCAGTTCTGAAGCTATTTTGGTCACATATTAAATTTAGAATAGGCCATTTCTTAGTTTCCGTTAGGTGTCGGAAGAGGCGACAAAGGAAACAGCGGTCGAGGGATGAGCAGCTAAAAGTACAGTGGACAGTTAACGATCCTTTAAAATTATGACGTCTTTAACCTTCCGCCAACCGTGTGTTTTTTTGCACACCGTCAACCGTCACGGACGATATCGTCCCAGACGATAATTTGACCGACTTAAAGGTAGGGAAAAATTCCAAAAAAATTCGGGGAAATCTTTTTAACGGAGGGTTTCGAGCCCTTTCCTTTTTTTCTGACAAAGATATACATCAGGTCCAAACTTGGTGCGGGCGATATTGTCCTATACGGTTGGCGGAGCGTTAAAATAACAGTTTTTGCGGAGTAAAGTACCTTACCCAAGTATTAAAATAAAAGGTTGAGACATCTATACAAATCTTTGGTATACCATAATAATAAATATTCAGGTAGAACTAACACTCTAGAAATGCGGAATTTAATAATAATACATTTTTTAATGGAATTTTCTAACATTGGCCATTAACGACTCACGTCCATTTCTTGTTCTATGAAGTCAGGGCCTTACCGACAATAGATATCGCAGTGAGAGTAAATATCTCTCATTTGCATTTATTTTGTGAGTCGCATTATATCGTAAAATATATTTATTTTATTCGAATATATTTTTGGCAACCCTCCCACAACTAACGTGAGAATTATTTATTTTTTATTTATTCATTAGTACATTGTATGTGTACAAGGCGGACTTAATGCTAAAACCATTCTCTCCTAGTCAACTTTAAGAATGTGTCAGAATACTCGAATGCGCGCTACTAGTAATAATTGATATACATACATAACAAAATTATATATAGACAAATATATATAAGTAATATATATATACTTACATATATATAAGATATACTATATATACTACTAGCGACTCGCCCCGGCTTCGCACGGGTACACACATCACATCACGATAGAAACGTTTAAAATGATCAGTGTTTCTCTACAATATTACACATATATTATACATATAAACCTTTCTCTTGAATCACTCTATTTATTAAAAAAAAAACTGCTTTACAATCCGTTGCATAGTTTTAAAGATTTAAGCATACATAGGGACGGACAGACAGCGACAGCGATTGTGTTATATAGTATACAAAGATGAGAATAATAGGTTTGAAGGGAACAAATGAATGTCTATGGGTCTCACTTCTACTTTGTTGTTTTATTCTTTATCTTTATTATTATCTCCTTTCTTATTTATTAATGTATCTGTAGGGATACCGTTAAGCGGTGGAAATACGTTTGTCCTTACTTCTGATAATGAGGATGGAAGCGATAACAATATTTAAGAAGGTACGTGCACTTACTTGAAGAAATCTCATGCGCCGCACTGCTTTCCACCTTTAACTGGATGCTGTTATAGATGCTTGATTGGTAGGCCTACACAAATCTTTAAATACAGAATATTTTATCTTTAATATGATGATCTCCTAGATCACTGTTCGGTTGTGCTCTTGATTCGCGACGGTACGTGATCTCAAGCCGAGTGCAAAGACGAGTTCACTAACTGCCCTCCAACTTAATAATAATGTAATCGCTTCATATCCGCGAGGTGTGGACATTCGATTAAGAATCGAATAATCGATCGATTGAAGCGCCATTTGGGACGATACAGTATCTTTATGATTATACACATTGTATATGTATATATGAAAATACATACATACACATAAATACATATTTCTTATTATAGGTTTCTATCGCAAAGATCACCTACAGAAGCACGTGTTAGTTCACACCAAATCGAAGCCCAGACCAAAGAGAGATTTGCCAGATCTGTATCCTATCAGCATGCTGCCAAAGAAGAGTCAAGTCAAGCCCGAGATTACAATACATGTAAGCACTAGTTTTTACCCGCGACTTCGACCATGTGACTGTGTATGTAAAATTTCATAATGAATGTAGATTTTCAGCTATTAAATTACCAAGATATAATGAACAAACTTACTTTCACATTTTTAATATTAATAAGGATAATATTAGCGATAGGTTATTATATTTTTTTTACATTGCCAATTTATACCCTTTATAATCTAAGGTAATAGATGGGAGACATCTGTGAATTACAAAAGCGGAAAACGGGAGAAGGTTCAAATTCTTTCCCCTTTTTAATAAAACTGGGAATTTTTGGGAGTAAAATTTGATATTTTGTTTTGATCGATGATAAATTCACCAGGATATAACTAGGATGGTTTCGAGTTATATCCAAGGGTAATACAAACATTTTTGTGGTAGCGTTCAAAGGCTAAGTACTATATTTATTTATTTATAATATATACATATATTTTGGTGAGCGTTACAGATTTACTAATGTACTCACCAAAAACAAAAAATACAACATTAATAATATATTAATGGGGGAAAAAAATTCTAAATGTACTGTAAAAATAAACATTGGCAGTACAGTCAAAAAGTCAAGTTGTGAACTCTCAACTATTTTATTGAGCAGACGTATCGCCCTCGTGAGTGGCACCTGATCAGCATGGAAACATATACTCAAGCGGGCCATACATACCTCAAAATTGACCATTAATTTATCTATTCCAGGCTCCCTCCAACACGAAACTACGTGTACCTCTTCAAATCAAAGTACCATACCAAATGGTAATGTCTATGGACAACGGGGAGCAACGGGCAGTCACCATCAACCCACAAACAGATTCCAGTCAAGAAGAAGATATGTAAAAAGCGAACCCATATAAAAATTAAAATAAAACTGTACCAAAATTATGTCTTTGCCTAACTACTAAACTGTAAAAAGTACGCTGTAATTTTGTTTTAAAAATTGAAAATAGAATAAGAAGAATATTTATTTAAATAAATGTGTATGCAAGCTTTTTTTTTATTGCTGAAGTTATTTTTATGGTTGCTATATTTGGTGAACTTAACTAAGTTATTTAACCTGTAAGTTGTATACTCATATCAAATGCATCCTTCGTAGTTGCTATAGCTCGTCAACTTTGTGGGAGATACGTCTCGCCTTAGCGAATGAGTAAAAGTGTGTATAATGGGAAATACATACATTCATATATGTATATATTATAACAGAAGTATACGAAAGTTGACGCGCTATATCACTACGGTTATTAAGCGCAAATTAGCATTGTGTTATTAGTGAGATGTGACCAGTTTCAAACAATTATGTCAAATATAAATCTCTAGTTAATTTTAATCGTTCGCATTGTTTACATATGTATTTTTAATTCACAATCGGGACTTAACGCAACGCGTTACAGGAAAATAGTATCTATATACCTGTCTATTTTTATTGTCGTTATTTCGACGTGGATTGCACCACGTCGTGGTTATGACAGGATTGAAGTCTGCAGTGTTTTCTTCTGGCAGCCCGCGCAGTTTATTCAGTCAGAAGAGGGAGACTTTGTACAAAAGTCGATTGCTTGGGTACCTCTGTCCCATTCGTGTTTCTACCGTGAAGCAGTTGTGTTTGCATGGCTGTGTTTCGGTTTGAAGGATGAGATATGGCGTGAATTTACTGGGTACAGAGGAATAACACCTAAGTCCTCAGGAATGGCAACGCATGGGGGATATCATGGGCGAAACAGTATACTCTGTTATGTCCATGGTACAGCTCATGTTTATAGGCGACGGTTATCACTTTCCATCAGGTGGGCCGTCAGCTTGTTTGCCATTCTAAGTTGTATAAAAAAAATCTCTAAGATCCACTCTACACACAGTATCCACATTGCGTTCAATACTTAGATTATAAAGTATTTATAATTTTTAATATATTTTATTATTATTTTCTTGTACAGCGCTTTTTCTTTTTATAAAACTAATGCCATTAAGTATTTAGTTACATAATCGTGATGTGAAATAAATGTATCATGTGACATCGTCACCGTCATATCAGCCGTTAACTGTCCACTGCTGAACATAGGCCTCCCCCATAAAGAGGAACCATGTTTGGTTTGGGAAGTTGCGCGTGCGCATAGCTCTCTGAAAATTAATTCAAGTATCTGAGTCATGTTGTTAGTTATTGAAACTAGTTTCGAAATACAACTACAATTAATTTATTTATTTAGTTCTTTAAAAAAGGGATTAAAAGGTTAGTTCAGGGTCGGCAATACACGCGTGATGGCCCTGGTATTGCAGGCATTCATAGGCTACGGTAACCGCTTACAATCAGGTGTAAAAAAAATAATTTATATCATAAAACTGGTTACATGTGCATGATGCATGCAATTAGTATCTCGTATGTAACTCAAGTTTAGCACATATCATTATATTGTATATAAAATCAATGTATAAAGATTGTGACTATATATGTCTATAGGTCATATTATATCAAATATTTGATTTTCTAATATAGATTTCACCAGTTAATTATTGTGAAATTATGTTTAAATGGAACACGTGAATCTGATTACGTAACTTTGTATCTCCATTTATTATATTCATAGAACACTATATTTTGATTGTTTTCACTAAATCTCTTATCGTAAAGTTAAGATGTTATAAAATAAACCATTTCAACTAAATAGGTATTCGTTGGAGTCTATCTGTGGCATCATACTCTAAACCTAAAATTTAAATTTAAAATTTATTTTTAATGTTTCTAAAATTTAAATTTAGTATTAGAGCAAAACTCTAAGGTTTAATATGATCGAAATTGCAAATAATTTGGACTTAAATTTATTAAGAAAATTAGTTAAATCAAAATAAAGATTTTGTTCTAATATTAAATTGATATTTTTATTGTAGATATATATTTAGAGAACGTGGTGCTACAGATTCGATCCTATTTCAATTTTTTATTATTTTTTTGATATTTTAATTGAAACTAAACTCTACGTAAGCGTATTGTGTCTTTTTCTTATGGTTAAGGAACGGAATTCTCTCACTTTGTAGGTTTTTCAACCACATACAATCTCGGTACCTGTGTCCCAATTATGATTCTGCAATAAAGCAGTTGTTTGCATGGCTGTCTACTCTGTTATGTCCATGGCACTGTTCATGTATATAGGCGACGGTTACCACTTTCCATGAGGTGGGCTGTCAGCTTTGCCATTCTAATTTGTATAAAAAATATTATATGAATAACCGATATGTGAATAGGCTATTCATGAGCCATCAGCTCCATCTTTGACCTCATTCATCTTAATCACGAGACTCTTTGAGAGCATTCAACGTTGGGCCGTTTGTTTCTGAAGCTTAGTTTGTCTCTTATCCTACTTTGCGTTTTGAATTAATTTCACCCTTGGCATAATGCTGAATAAGTAGAAACTCGAGTGCTAAGACATGTTCTGTCTCCTCATTTTATTCTTACTTCATCATGAAATATGAAAATGAGGGGTTAATGTTATTTTTCTCTAACAATTTAATTGGGTGTTATAATAATAATACCCGATTAAAATCTATTGAAAAAAAAAGATTTTTTAGGTATTTACCTTTCCAGGATCTTTTGTGCTCGCCTTTTTTTTTTAATTATTAATCGAATAATACACTTAATTTAAAAGGGCCAAGACATTTTTTTTTTTATACTATTTATTTATTTAATAATGAAACTTCAGAAATAATTAATGATAAGGTTATTTTGAGTTTAACATTCTGCAGTTAAAAATTTTTTTCTTGTGCTTATTAATATTATACCTACATTTAAATATTTCATTGCACAAGCTTATTAAGGAATATGTATTAAATGTATGAACTGGGTCCAAATAAAGATCTCAATATGTTATTTTATAATAGAAACGTGAGTCTGTACATATCTAATTGACATTTTTGTGTATTAATGATAAGGTATAATATTTTAATTAAGTTTTTCTTATATGTATTTCAATAACATAGTATTATAAGTATATCAGGTTAGTGTGCCATTGTACCAAAAATTTAAGTGGATGATATTCAGTAAATTCGATCCTTGTTCAACTTCGGTGGACTATTCAACTTTGAGATCTAGAAAAGCCGATGTCTCTGAATTAGAGAAGGAAGAATTTTTTTAATTCTTCTTCTAGAGGCATCAATTTTACACTGAAGGCTCGAAACCAAGAAAGTTCACTGAAATTTTACAGAAATTGCATTTGTTGAAACTCGCCTAAGTACATATTTTATTATAAAGTTCCTCAATTTTGTCTGTAATCAGAAGTATGTTGTAATTTAACTGCAAATTACGAAATTGTGACGAAAGTACAAAATAAAATATTTTGCACGTAATAAAACTTTTTTTTTTGTAAATTCGTGATCATCAATGATCGTTTACCATCTGACTGTTTACTACCTCCGTGGTATTAAAAAAATATATATAATAAATAAAATGACAAATCAATGTGAATGTATTTATTCTTTATTAGAAGCGAAAGATTATAAAATTATAATCGGAAGCACGATTTGCTATGAAGAGGGTAATGTGTCGTAAAACGGGCAATATTTAGATACATAATTTTCGAAATTATCTATACATAATAATGTGTTCAACAAAAAAACCTGACATCAACTGTGGCAAAACTAGTTATATTGTTTTAAAATTAAACTACAAAACCGATTTTGATAAAATTCCTATGGAACCAATCTGTAAGTTTATTCTTTCTGATAAAAAAAATATTTTCCAAATTGGTTTATAGCGTTCATTATATGGCGGAGATGAGGTAACAAACATAAAAAAATACAACCGAAACGAGAACTTTCTTTTTTTATGTCGGTTGAAAATATTACTTCTGGCATTTTTTCATTATGCAATAAATGTAACAGATGTGGTGTTAAACTTATTTTTAATGGCTAACCCGTTAATGCAGTATAATTAGAGTCTTTATTTTACCATAACTTCTGAATGCTTGAACAGTTTAGGATAATAGTGTATTGTTAGAATCCTTACATATATAATTATTTTGTTAATAGTTCATTTATTTAAATTTAACATGTGCAGCAAAATGTACTTGTTAACTAAGCGTTCAGTCAGAAATGATACAGTTAATTTTCTTGGAAAATAATAGAGATCTCATTCTTATGGTATACCTATGCCCCTTTTAAAATGATTTAACAATTTGCCGTTTACATTTCTAATATCAAAGTATTTGTTTAAAAAACCAGTTTAGAATCGATTAGGGAACACAGTTAACGATTTTTATCTATTTTATACATTAGAAAGGGATATAATTTTATCTTACTACACTTGTTTGATGGCCACACATCCTGGTGTCTAAACGGGGCACTTTAGTGATTCCCCAAAAGATCCATATTAGTAAATCGTATAAATTTAATTTTTAGGAATCTCAAAATAACCTACAGTTGAGAAACTTCTTGTCTGCTGACAACTACATTTCTCACACATTTACTTTATGAAATGTGTTCTATGTTCGTCCCTTATCATCTTAATTTTTTTATACTACACTGTGGTAGCAAACAAACACGGTTTTTGTTACAGTTACGCGCGCGTTGTTGACCCTTTAGAACCCTTAATAACCCCGTTTTAAAGAATTCCATGCTGTAATCTCTAGAAAAAGCCTCGACGATTTATTATATTTAGTTATTACTTGCTTTTAACAAGGACGTTAAATAATTAATATGAGCCATTAAATTTCATGAAAGGTCAGTTTTTCGTATTCCAATTTTGCGTACCTATCTATATTTTTTTTTGTGAAATGCCAATATGTATCTTTTTTTTATCATATTTCCCTCCGTATAAGAACTCAGGACGGGGCTACACTGAAGTCACAATTGCTTTTGTACTTTATTAACTAACTAAATTTTACGTTTACAGAGACTTATACGTCGACAAGTATGTTAATTTTTACTAAAAAAATAAGTTTTTTATACTATAAATATTATTTTACAATTTATATAAACAGATAATATACATTTAACAGCTATAGGTACTATGCATATTGCGTAAACATTTTTAAATGTTTTGAGGCGATCAAGCAGCTTGAATCAAGCGCGGAGATTTTGAACATACAAAATATATAGATCCCAAAATTCAACGTATTTGTTATTCTAGCTACCTATTACTTAACACATTATTTTATAAATATCATAGTAGCATTGTGAGAAGAAACGAGATCTAAGAAGTGGTTTGATTCAAATGTCAAAGAAGTTAGGCTTGATTGAAGCTGCTTGACAGACTGACTTTTTATACTTAAATACATTTTAAATCACTGAGATCGTAAATAACACTAAAGAAAATTTTAAAACTGCATCTAAAACATTTTTATTTAAATATAATCACAAATAATCAACAAAAACTACTTATACCAAGGAACCCTAACATGTAAACAACAATTTTATATAAAATATCTTTAGTATGATCACAGCAAAAAATAATCACGTAATTCAAATAAATAGCTCCAACGAGATATCACTATCACACTAAATTTATTTTCTGATGATTTCTAGTTAATATTTTTTTCTAATTAAAATAATTTTTCGCAGGTAATATTTACAAATAAAATATATGAGTAAAAAAGATATGGGACCCGCACGGGTGTAAATTCTGTAAATTGTAAAAGTAATTAGATAGGTTCAAAAATTGCCAATATAATAAAGTACTTTTTATAGGTCATTTAAAATAATTGTCTCCTTTATAAACCTGACGTAAATTGACTTTTGTAAATTAGAATATTTCATTTATTTTTTAATGTTTTCAACTAATTTCTTAATTTGAGAGAATTTATTAGTATTTTAATTATTAAATAAGTATCTAATAATCAAAATACAGAAGTATATTATTGTTGGATAACTTTTACGTTATCGTCTTATGTTTTTATGAATATAGATACCATTTTCAATCTAGAGACAATAAAAAAAATAATATAATAAGCACAGCCGCGTGCAATAATAAGTAAACTTTTATTTTGTCACAAATAATAAACCTTAGCTAGGTTTATCTAGCTATTTTATTAGTCTAACTCCATTTTCTTACATACTTAAAACAATTTTGAATAGAATACATTATTTATATAATTAAAAATGTATAATTCGTGATTAATATATATCTATACAATATAATATATAATTTATACAATTTTACCATCGATTCCACAGATCAATTATATGCCTTGTTACAGTCATTCTTCTATGAATATATATGAATAAAAGAAAAAAATGCCATAGATTGTATTTGCTATTTGAAAATAGAATGTAGACACGGGCATCGCCCAATATTTAAATTTTATACGTAGCTGTACCTAAACTATGTCATCCGTAACTATAAAATTATTAATAATGGCGTCGATTTTGAGGCGCCATAACCTATCTTCTAATCTAATATTTAAATTTGATAATTTCGTAAAATTACTGTTTTATCATAAATTATGTAGTTTTGATTTAAATGTAGTTCTTATTTGGGTTCATACAATAAAGATTTCTCTGTGATATCATTTAATTTTTGAGATAGTTTTAATAAAATGGTGCCTCAGAATTAACCCAATTATTTTAAGTTTTTACGACAAATAATTTAAAATATTTTTAATTGTGACATACAAGAATGATTTTTCTTTTAAAATTAAGGTTAATTATAGCACGCCAGTAACTCTAAAACTCAGTAGAGTATAGAACAATGCAATCCTTCAGGAGCGCTACGTATGAAGTTGATAGGCTATGGTTTTATAATGAAATTAGAAGTTTAGGGTTAGCGCAGACCGACTTAGAGTACTAAATCAGTTGCTAGGCACACTGAGCCACCTTCACTTCATGGGACTTCGAGAGCTATAGTTATTTCTATACATATAAAATTGTCGTGTCACAGTGTCAGTTTTCATACTTCTCCGTAACAGCTTAACCGATTTTGATGGAATTTTATATGTATACTCGGTAGATCTGAGAATAGGTAATCTATTTTTTATACCCCTAAGTGATAACAGTGGCTTACCCCGAAATAATTTTCGCTAGAAATAATTTATATGGCAAAACAACGTTTGCCGGGTCAGCTACTTTTTTTTTAGAATAATTTCAACTGCATTCCAATGGGTTGCATATATGAGGGACGTTTTGTTTGCTGTTTAATTTTTTTATTGGTCCGCAAAAAATCCTCGGCCTATATTTAAGTTTCCAATTAAAAGTTTAATTTTTTTTTATATAACTTAGAAAGGCAAACAAGCAGACGGGCCCACCTGATGGAAAGTGGTAACCGTCGCCTATGGACATGAGCAGTACCATGGACATAACAGAGTATACTGTTTCGCCCACGATACCTCCCATGCATTACCATTTCTGAGGACTCAGGTGTTATTCCTCTATATCCTGTAAATTCACTGCCATATCCCACCCTTCAAACCGAAACACAGCCATGAAAACATAACTGCTTTACGGTAGAAACATGAATGGGACAGAGGTGCCCAAGCAAACGTCTTTTGTACAAAGTCTCCCTCTGATGGCCAAAGTTTTATCTAAATTATAACAGAAATACTTGTCTAAATGGAATTATAGTAACAAATCGAAACATTCATTCAATTAATCTATAAAAAATAGATCAAATAAAAAAATAGCAACAAAAAAAAATTGTTTTGTACTACTATTTGACATCAGCAAATTTTATTGTCTTGTTATTTAGTCGTTTGATTACATTTTCATTCGCGTAAAATGCATTATTTTTAATTTTATTGAAAGAGACTATAGTAGTCTGACCACCACCGGTCTGCGCTGACCCACAGCAACTTTCCTACATCTACAAGGCTTTGGTCTACAATCGTGCGATCTGTGCATCGTGTTTACTCGAGTCAGAAGGCGTCCTTTGCAGCCGCGATTAGCGTGAGCAGGTCGTTTTTCTCGTCGGGCTGCGGTCAGGAGGGCTCGGGCGCCGGCGCCGGCACCGCCTGCGACAGCGGCGGGCTGCCGGCTGCGCCCTGCTGCGACAGTTCCGCCTTCACCCGCCGCGCTATATGCGACCGCGTGTGCTTGCGAAGGTGATCTTTACGGTAGAAACCTGTCGCAGAGGGGAAAAAGGACTATTAGTAATGGGTACTAATAATCCCGTTACTAACAATAAATATATATTTATATATATACATATATAAATATATATTTATTGTGATACTGAATACTAGAATGAAAAATATATTGACGTATATGGTATTATGGGTGAACTTGACAAACTATTGAAATTTGAACTGACCTTTCCCACACTCGTTGCACACGTGCCTCTTCTCACCAGAATGTATGACGAAGTGCAGGGTGAGTTGTTCCTTCCGCTTGAACGCCTTCAGGCACACGGAGCAGACGTGCGGCCGCTCCGGGTTGTGGGACTGCTTGTGTCGCGTGAGATGGTCCTTGCGTTTTAGCGCTGCGTTACAGATGTCGCAAATAAACCTGCCACAAAAGTGGTTATTTAGATTTTGTTGGCAAAAATGAATTTGAAAAATTCCGAAGCAAAATATGAAGTAGGTTTTCAATGCTTAAGTTTTGTATGCAATGTATTGTTTTTGTTTTTATAACACTGAGGTGGCAAACAAGCATACGGCTGATGGTAAACGGTTACCGTAGCCTATTAACGTCTACAATATAAGGAGCATTATGCGCGAGTTGCCGATCCTGAGTAAACCTCTTTACCCCCCCCCCCCCTGAAGAACCCTATGTCTCTTGGAACAACCTCGACAGGGAGCTCATTCTATAACCTGAGCGTTTGTGGGAGAAATCATCTCTGAAACCGCGCTATAAGGGTTGTTTAACGTTTTAGTTCACTAGCAGAGCACTTTTTAATCTGAATGTTGTTCGTACTGTTTCTATCGCTATCACTATAATTACGCTATATGGTCATAAAGCATACCTCCTCTCCATGGTGTGTCCAACCAGATGTTGCTCCAACAGTCCGCGCTCCGGATACGCCATGTGACATTCTGGGCAGCAGTACAGTGTGCTGCCGTCTGGTAAACAACATGATATAATAAAAATACTATAAGTTGATTGTAAACAAGATACATTTAAAAAAAAAAATTATATTATTGATAAATTGAATAAGAGATAATAATTTTCATCTGTCCGTATGTCTGTTCACGTATCACGCAAAAACTATTGCATCAATTGGATACGGTTTTCATAGTTGTGTTCATGTAGCATCGTAATTATATTCTAAGCAAGATTATATTGGTAGAGCCTCGAGTCTCAAAAATAGGTCAACTTTTTGTCAGCTAATTTTGTTTGTTGTAAATTTGTCAGCTAATCAAATTAGCTGACTCCTTTTTTATCAGTGTTCTATATATTTACGCATATATTGTATCTTGACGTATCTATATTTCATTATTTAATAAATAAAATGAGTTTTTACGCATTAAAAAGATGCAAAAATTCTAAAACAAAATAAATATAAAAATTATAAAGAAAACACTCATATTTATCACGTAAAATTTTATGGAAAAGTTGACCCGCTTTTCTCCTAAGCATTTATATGGAGACTATATAATCTAAGCTGACATGTCAATATATGAATTGTACCTAATGCAGTGGTGAGTCGTATCTCCCCTGGCTTCGGGCGCGGCTTCTTTTCTTTTGTAGTTTTCTTCTTTTTCTTCTTCTTTGGTACCGAGACAGAGTTCGCCGCGTTTGTGTTCACGGTTTGGTTCACAATTGTGGCTGTCTGCACGACCACACTGTTTACTGCATTTGTTGGCATCTATAATAAAAAAAATATTTATGAAAAGGAGGTTTAATTCTACAATATTTTTCTAGTATGTGTATAAATGCTTTATAACGTTTTATACATTTACTACAAAGTAAAATGGTACAAAAGTTTTAGTTTAAATTTTCGCAGTTATCCCTACACATATTTATAACTAACAGGTTCTCTCTTAACACAATTATTAATGTGATTGTCCTCGAAAAAAATAAACGTAAAAGGAAAAAGATAAACAGATACATTTGCCCTTATGTTATACCCGCATTTTATTAATTATGCTGTGACCATAATTCTTGCAACTGGGTCAAAATGTCGGCGCACTCAATCATTACAGCATTAAATCAGCCTTTTATAGCAAAAATTTTTTGTAAATATACCATATTAGCTATTAACTGTCCACTGCTGAACATAGACCCCTCATGGAGAGTTTTACCAGTAGTTTCCACGCTTGGCATGCGGGTTAGCAACCGTAGTTAGGCTTTAGTAATATTTTAAGAGGGACGCTACTGCCCATCCCTCTAGGATTAAAATCCTTAATTCGCCTCTTATGACACCCACGGGAAAGAAAGGGTTGGTTCAGCCTGGATGGCTACTTTATTCATAAAAAATGAACCTTCTACAAACCAATTTTAATCATTACAGTGTTTTAAATACACAATCGGAACTTAATGCAATGAAAAAACCTTTGCATCGAATCGAAGTATCTTCCTGCTTCTTTATTACCGACGGTTTTTTTTAATTAACTATTACACTGTTTTGTCACTTTCTTTCATTAACATTGGGGAATTTAGTGTCAAAAAAAAAAAGAATAAAAAACAGTTCAATAGCTAAAACAGGTTTATGAGAAGTTTGACCATGAATAATGTGGTAAATAAATAAGTAAATTAAGTCTAAAAATGTACGTACAGTAAGCGAGGACATAGAGGGAACCGCGTTGGCGGCGACCGCCGTCACTATAGTCGGCTGTTCGTCCCTCTTGCCGTCCGCCACCGAGTTGGTGGGTGTGGAATACTTGAGTAAGTGGTGCAGAGGTAGCGGTAGCGCGGACAGGTAGTCCGCCACGCCGCCGCCCAGTGTCTGCCATGTTGAGCTGTCGGTCACGTCGCCGATACCTGGCGGATATGAAACTGGTCACATGTCAGCTTATTCTATTTCCTTTCTACACGTGTTTCAACTGTGAAGCAGTTGTGTTTGCATGGCTGTGTTTCGGTTTGAAGGGTGGGATATGGCGTGAATTTACTGGGTACAGAGGAATAACACCTGAGTCCTCAGAAATGGCAACGCATGGGGGGTATCATGGGTGAAACAGTATACTCTGTTATGTTCATGGTACTGCTCATGTCTATAGGCGACGGTTACCACTTTCTATCAGGTGGACCGTCAGCTTGTTTGCCGTTCTAAGTTGTATGAAATAAAAAAAAAACGGGCACGACACACTAACTCCATAGCCACTTGATAATAAGTGATTATGAAGTCTATGTATGTAATATCCTACTCTTTAAAGAGAAACGTAGCTATACAAGCAAAACTGCTTCGTAAAATGAATGTGATAGAGACAGAGCTGTAGCTAGACCCAAATTTAAGGCAAAAAAAATTTTTTTGGTAGGGCAGAAGCCATAATTAAGTGATTTCGAAAAATGCATGCAATCCCATAATACTCGTATATTCGAGGTCTTAGAATATATAGGTCCTCAAAATGGATTAACTTCGGACATCGAGTCCTCAAAACGGATTTGTCAGCTAATTGTCAAATTAGCTGACTCTTTTTTTATCAGTGTTCTATATACTTACACATACAATATATGTTGACGTATTATTTAATAAATAAAATGGGTATTTACGTATTAAAAAGTTGTGGAATCTATAAGACAAAATAAATATAGAAATTATAAAGGAATCATTTATAACTATCACGCAAGTAGTGCGTCGTATGGCTTCGGGCGGGTGTTTATGGTGTCAATTGGTGGGTATTGGTATATCATATGTGTATTGGTGACGATTACAGCTTTCTACTAGCTTATTTGTTATTATGAGTTGCATAAATAATAGGTAACACACTTATGAATTCAGCGGGCGCAGTGGCTGCTGCTCGCTCCGGTCTGCTCTCTTGCTTGATGGCCCGCGCCAACGCCGCCGCCTCCTTCGGCTCGTGCAGCACTACCAGGAGCTGCTGTGTGCCTTGTTGTAACGGCGTCGCTTGCGTCACTGTATAAATATGAATAATTGAATGATAACTTTATTTGCTTAAATAATATATGTATTTATGTACTATAATAGTAGTAAAGTACCCCTAACTAGCAAGCGTGTATGAAAAGATTGATGGATATGGAGGAAGCGAAAGAGATCGGTTTGAATTGAAGCATTTGGCGTTCCATTGTTTCTGTCTACCCTAATGGGAGACAGGCGTGAGAGATATGTATGTATAATAGTAGCCAATTAAGCATATAGCCCGCCTGATAGCTAACAGGTATCCGTATGTCCAGAAAATCACGATAGAAAACTCATTTCACAATCTGAACGTCGCTTCTGTAACTACAATATACTCGAATTCTTTTCTTAAATAAATTCCCTGTCGATGGTAAACAGTAGATATAATTAATAGAAACAAAGGCGGGGGGAAAGGGATTATTAGTAATGGGGTCTAATGAACTCGTTGCTAGCAATATACCCTATCAGGTCGACCTCCACGCGGTTCCCCCTGGAAACGATTGTGGTTAATTCTAGTGGAATTCGTCACGATGGGCTAACTGACCTGCTTTCATCCTCATCTATCATCTCTCACTCGTGCCCCGTCAGTGTATACCGATAGCGCAGGTGGGGTTACCATTCCATTATCACCCATTAAAAAAAAATAGAAACAAGGGCACATTGTCAAACAATATAAATATTTATTATTAATTTTATAGTATTGCACTTTACTAATTAGGTCCCGAACTATAAATAAACACACAAAAAGAAAAAAAAAATATTTAAATTTGCGACCTTGTAGCACAATGAAAATTTGCGTAGAGTGTGTCAAGTTTGATTATAGATAGGGTCAGTATTGGACGAATTTTCTTTTCTAAATTCAGTTTAAATATTTTAACCAGATCGTGGGAAAAAGTAAAAACTCGGCAGTGTCGCAATGCTTGAAGCTGATATGAGGCCTCATTTGCAATCCCGAATCTAGTACATTCGTCACTAACTTACCCTGGTGCTGCTGCATCATGGTGGCCATCAGGTCATGGTGCAACTCCTCCCTGTACTCCCGCTTGTCGGCGCGCTGCTCCGCCTTCAGCTGTTGGTGTACCGTCTCTGCTTGCACGTAGCTCGCCTGCCCGCCGTATGTGATGTTACCCAGGTTGACGGAAGATGTCGATATTGTCTGATATTTCACTCCCGTGTTCACTGAAATATTAATTGTATTCAAGCCATTTTCATGTTGATATCATTGTCGTTGCCGTGTGGTCCTAGCATAAAATGAGTTCTTCCTTTCCCGTGTGTGCTATAAGATGCAATTAAAGGGTCGACAAAAGAGCAGCACCGTCCCTCTTAAAACATCACTAAAAGCCTAACTACGGTTGTCCAACCGCCTGCTGAACGTGGCAACTACTGGCAAAGCTCCCCTTATTATAGAAGCCTATGTTCAACAGTGGACAGATAACGGCTGACATGATGATGTTGATATCACGAAAAATCTTATAAACGGACTATTTACAAGTGGAAATCTAAATCACAAGTATCCTTTTAGAAGAATTTTTTTTATTCAATTAAAAATAACAAACAAGCTGTCAGTAGACAGAAACTAGTAACAATCGCTTAAATGGCACGATAAACATCACAGAAATTGACTGTCACGCCCGTACCCACTTATGCGTTGCTATTATTGAGGTATTATGCCCCTGTACGCTATAATTTAACAACACATTCCCTCAAAGGAAAACACAGTCACTCAACTACAGCTGATTGATAGCAGAGACGCAATGCTATGTACAAGTCTAAAATATGAATTTATTATATAAATTTATTAGAATATAAACAGTTTAACCCACTTCATTAAAGTCTTTAAGCACCATTGAATTTCAAAACTTCACATCCTCATAATGCTATAAAAATGAAGATATCCAAACATTCAATATTTGTATTGTTATTAATGATGCTTCAATAACCGAATCTATTTTAATGAAATTTGGTACACAAAATATTGACTTCTAGAACATGATACTTTTATGTCAATTTCCTCGAACAAAACTGCGGAATAGTATGATAGTTTGATTAATATAAATTAATTTTTGTTACCTGTATGTAAAGGAGCAATTCCAGCTAAGGTGACAGCCCCGGGTTGAGCACTGCTCACTACGACAACACTCTCCGCTTGTCTGAACTTCACACCATCGACGGACACGCTGCCAGAAGCTGGCGCAACAGCGAATTGTACCCCACCGCCCGTACCAGTATTCTGGTATCTAGTCTCTTGGACCACACCAGTATTGTTACCAGTACCCTCATATCCAAACTTTGCAGCGAACTGGTGGATGGTTGGTATCGCCGCCGCTGTCGGGATGTGACCAGTGAAGGGCGCGAAGTTCATCTTCGTTTATTAATTCTGAAACCATTTCCATTCTCATGTCCTATTTTCTTTTCAACATACTAAGTTAGTAAACAAAAAAAAAATTCTCACTCACTCCCGAAAAAGGGTGGGGTGTTTTAGTTCCTTGGTGCGATGGTGTGAGACTTACCCAAGACCCATCCCATAATAAACAAGAGTTACAAACACGCGTGCGGACGTGTTGTCTATTAACAAGACAAATCACTGAAATTTTGTGACATTTTAAAATCGATCGCTACGTGCACAGTGCACATAATGCCCAAGGACTAAGTTGAAGTAAAAATGGATAGAACTTTAAAATAAGGTTTGATAGGTCAAAGGTATAAGAATCTAGGAATACTAACTAAACGTATGTAGATGCATATTGGTGGTGGTTTTTGGCGATGATGTTTGACTTGACCCACTTGCAAGGATTATGGTGTGAACAACAAAATTCTTAAAAGGACAAAAGCGGCGCGAAGGAGCAGTGATTGCATGCACTCGTTTTATCGGGCAGGTGGAGTATGCGGCGTACGAACCACAACAAAGTGAATCAAAGGGTGCGGCCCCTGGCAGGGCGCTCACTCAACCCCCGCCATTCTGCCTCACCCCAGTCACCGCCGCATTTCTAACGCTCTATTTTTACCGGCCCGCGCTCTCACACCATTGCCCGTGAATCGAGCACTGCGAGCCTACTGACGGGATGATGGGGAAGGAATTTGGGAATCGACGAGTAGTTACCTGTTTTCCAGTGAAGAAGCTGGGTTTCATAACGTTTTAAATGTCAGTCGCAATCGAAATAAGCTAGACGAGGTATGGCGGTATGCGTGGTGTGGTTGCGCATTGGGCGGCGCGTGCGTGAAGCCTGCGAGGCGCGGCGCGGGGCCGAGCGAGCGGAGTGGGCACCGGGGCCGGGGTACTGTGCCGCACACGTGCATCAAGAGTAAGGACGCCGGACAACGGGGCCCGCGAGTTTGCTGTCTCGAGACGAACCATTACGAGAGAGGGAAAGAGCCTAATGGATACTCTCAACCATTTATATGATAAACGATGATTGGTTCTTCATTGAGGGTGAATAGAATAACCTTTTCTATAGAGACTTTAGGGTCTTTCTATAGGGACTTTAGGGCTATATAAGGGTGTAATGAGTTTTGAATCAGGAATATGCATATCCTAGTGCGAAAAGAGACTAATGATTCTATGAGTAATTTAAGAAAAAAATTATGTATTTGTCACGAAACATTTTTTACAAAAAACCGAACAAACATTAGCAGTAATTGAAATAAACCCTTGCAAATCGGTCCAAATCTGTAGAGAAAATGTGCACATTTTCTCAAAATAAAATCTTACGGAACTTATACTAGAGCATATCTGTTTAATGGTTAAATTGGTTAAAAAGATCAGAAATACCAAAGGTATATAAATATAAATTGTAATAATGTTCAATAAAAATATCACGCTCTGTACAAACTAAAAAAAATCCTTATGTGATGCAGCATGGTCGATTGTTTTCCAGCCAATACAAATCTTATTAATATAATAAAATTGTTACTAATAGATGTCTGTGTAAAAAAAAATTATAAGGGGTTTTAATAAAGGCAATAAAAGTTATTACAATATTTTTAAAAATTTTATCTGTATATTTCTTTCAGCATCACACGAAAATTATTACACAAAATTGGATACTCTTCTCACAATTGTATTCCTGTAGGTCTAACTTAAAATCTGGTGCGTGTTTTATCGTAATACCTCATTTAGAAGCGGTTTAAATTCGTTTTTTATTTCTGAAATTTACACTGACGAAGTTGCGGGCAAAAACTAGTGATCCTGGTTGAAGCTACTCTTACGTGAACCGTACCGTAACAATATGTAATGACCTGTGTTTCGGTATAAAGAGTGGGATATAGCGTGAATTTACTGGGTACGAAGGAATAACACCTGAGTCCACAGGAATGGCAACGCATGGGGGTATCATGGGCGAAAGAGTATACTCTGTTATGTCCATGCTACTGCTCATGTCTATAGGCGACGGTTACCACTTTCCATCAGGTAGGCCGTCGGCTTGTTTGCCATTCTAAGTTTTATACAAAAAAAAACTTTTTCAAATCGGGTACCCTTCACCTTATAACCTCGGATCCTTCGAACGTAATGTAAAAAAGCACTTAGTATGCCAACATAAAATAATCTACTTTATATCAATACGGACTATTAGTCTCATTGCTAGCAGTATCAGGTCGACCTTCAGCACAATAGTTCCTCATGGAAACCATCGCGCTGAATTTCTAGTGTATTATTCGTCACGATGCGCTAACTGTCCTGGCTTTTCAATCTCACATATCAAACCTCACTGGTGGCCCGCCAACGTATACTGGTTAGCGCAGGCGAGGTTACCATTCCATCCGTTGAGAGTAAAATTATTCTTTTTCAGTTGATCATATTCATGGAGCATATTAAACACAGTGTGTTTACTAAAGATGGTGTGGTCAGATTTGTTTTAAGAATTTATATATATAATGAATTGAATGATACACATTTTAAAAAATCAATGATCTTTATTTTTTCATCTCATTACTCTTACGGTCTTCTCTTAATAAATAAAAGTGGTTCATACAAAATTCTAAACTTAATCTAATTGTTACGTCTTAAGATTTATAATACTTGCAACTACTAAATTTTAAATAAACAAAATAAAAAAAATATCAAACTAATTATTTAGCATCTATTTATTTTGTAGGACTAATCAATTCATTGCCAATTCAATTTGAAAAGTACATTTTCCTAAAAATTACAATTTTATTTTTTACACTGCTTATTCGAGGTTAAAAAATAGATATGAAAAATAGAAAAAAAAATTTATATTTAAAAACAAACTTGATTTGCTGATTAAAAAATACTGTACAGTGAAAATATTCCTATTGTATACATGTACAAAAGATTTGCAGCACCATAGAAATTATTCTATAATTTAATCAATATACAGACAGTATAGGCAATTAGTTACGACTATTTAGGATTTTTATAATAGTCTGACATTATTATTTCAGCCGTTAATTGTCCATTGTTGGACATAAGCGTTTCCCATAAGAGGAGTTTTGCCAGTAGTTGCCACGCTTGGCAGGCGAGTTGGCAACCGCAGTTAGGCTTTTATAGACGTTTTAAAAGGGACGCTGCTGCCTATCCCTCTGCCTCCCTTTGTCGCCTCTTATAACACCCACGGGAAAGGAAGGGGTGGTCCATTCCATGCCGAGGCAGACACAGGTAAGTCTGACTTAGAAGCTTATAAAATACTTGTAAAAAATGTAATCATATTTGGGAACTAGATTTGGTTCCAAATAACTGAATAATGAAATTGGTTATTAGAATAACTAAATTATAACAATTGCAAAAATAATAATTAAAATCAGTTTAATATATACAATAATTATATACAAAAATAACCGATTGTGTTACTGTACGCTTGCATTAATGATGCTCAATAAACTTACTCTAAGTACATTTGAAAATAATTTACACCTAATTTAAAGCTGACATTTAATATCCCATGGTGGAAACTTGGCTCAAATTTATCTCTTTCTCATTTTAAAATGATAATACATGTACGCTATAATATAATAAAACACTCATTTCCTTACAAACAACAAAGACACCTAAAAATATTTTAAAAAGTATAAAAAAAATATATTTCATTTGTACAATTAATAAATATATACATATAAAATGTTAAAGGGAATTTAAACAAAAGTGTTATATAAATATATACTTTTGGATTTCGTCGATTATACTAATAAACGACTGTACAAAAACGCTATAAATAGAAAAGAAAATATCCAAGTTAAAGAGGATAGAGACTGAATAGTATAAAATTTTATATTCCCTTATGACAAAATTTTTAAAGTGACATAGCCTCACCAGTGCCTACTAAGGCTCCAAGTTTCAAGTCCTGTATGTGATGTTTTGTTTAGATATTTACACATAATTTAGATTGTAAGAAAATGGTATAAATATCACAGTGATAATGATATTTACAATGTTATTTGTCACTTACTTTTTCCACTAACAATAAAGTGTACAAAAATACACAACCGCTGAAAAGTCCTTATATAGGCGACTAATTAAAATTATTACTAGTATTTCATATTCATAGGTATTAGACAGCTGATCTTACTATTAGTAAGTTAGAATTTCAATACAGCATATCGACACATGACTAAGCATCCCTACAGAATACAAGCCACTCATACCCTCATACATAGCACATACATCTCGTTTGTATGACAAGTAAACAGGTGTGGAGACAGAATTGTTAGTAATAAGCTCGAGTTCCACGGGATTTCTCTGGACACCGTTGTAATTAATTATTGGTGAATTTGTCTCTATGGACTAACTGATCTGACTTAATCTTCGTGTATCATTCCTTATTGATACTTTACATATGGTATGGTAAAATAAAGGTAACCATTCCATTTTCAATATTAAAATAAATTTATAATATTTGTGACGATGGAGGAAATTTATTCATTGATCTCGTCAAGAATTTTATACACACTTCACAGTAGCGTACGAGTATACCTACAGTGGGCAGCTTGTATGTAGCTTGGATTCTGTGAGAATACATAATCGTGGTATCAACCTTGCTTGCTCGTTGAGCGAACTTAGCGACTGTGGCACCTTTACATATTGTCCACAATAATAGTATTATTTGCATTAAACGCACACGTCAGCGTGACAAATTTGTCACTCAGTTCTAGGTGGGAGTGTAAGTGCGCGCACATTACATTATAATAATCTGGACACACATATATATATATATATATATATATATATATATATATATATATATATATATATATATATATATATATATATATATATATATATATATATATATATATATATATATATATATATATATATATATATATATATATATATATATATATACTACATAAAAACATCACCCAACTATACCAGCTCTTAGATGTTTCGTACTTCCGATATTATACTTTTTTCATATTACGAATAGAGTTCATTTTGAATTAAAGCACATAGGAGCTCAAAACATTTCTATGTAGAATTGTCAAATCGGCGTTTAGTCAACAAAAATCTATATAATATTTACATAACCTAATATGATATGTATTTATCGACTGTTATGTTTAGTACTACATATTATAGTTTTGCCTATCTGACATACATACAAAAACAAAACAAAGCTGCACCATATATCATATTTAAATCACTATAGTAATCTCAATTCCAATACTAATTGTGAATGCTATTGCATTGATTTATCTGTTCTTGTACCCTGTAAATCCAAACAGTATTCAGTTTCCTTGCAATCACTTTATAAAAATATATCAATATTGTTCACTTTTATTCTCTAATTACTGGCCAAATATCGGAGTTATGATTTCAAGTCTAATTAACAGCTGTACCTGTTTATTGTATTATAATCACATAAATGAAGTTAAAATGTACGGTAGGATCTTCCCGCAACAAATGGAAAGTCTCTGCACTGTGTCAGTTTATGCGAAAAACAGTTGTGTGTATAAGCGAAACAGTTTGCCTGTGTGCTACTTTTAAATATGTCGATCACTCACACATACGCATGATAATAATTTAAACAATCTGATATCTCTGTAGTAGTTTTAACACGCACATATGTAATAGATGTTACTATAACTTCACTTATCCATTAGACGCAATATTTTCATTTCCTTAACGAACCATAATTATAAATTCTGAGTAGTTTTATCAGACCACATCTCATTAAATTTAAATCTTAGAGTTACATACTATGTTCATCGGAGGCGTGATGACGCTAATGGGCATTTATATAATTTACCATACTCTAGAGAAGCCTTCCAAAGTGGGTCATAACGCCCCCTTATGGAGGCTATAGGCCTTAAAGGGAACGGCAAGAGACTTAGAAAATTTGGGGGCCTTGTGTAGAGGCTTGGGGGGTGATTTGTTGATCTTAAAGTAATAGTGGTTTTTAAGTAGGTGAAAAAATGGGGGCGCTAAAAAATAATTTATTCTCAAAGTGGGCAGTAGACAAAATAAATTTGGGAAACCCTGTTCTAGATGATATATTTTATGTCCCAATACATGGTAGAATCTCAATTATCTTTTTTTTTATACAACTTAGAATGGCAAACAAACTGACGGTCCACCTGATGGAAAGTGATAACCGTCGCCTATACACATGAGCAGTGGACCATGGACATAACAGAGTATACTGTATCTGAATATTGGTTCATCCAAACTTATTCTTCACGGCTTTAATTACTCATTTAAAAATGATATTATGTATTAATTGGCTAAATGGGTAATCAATTATTTTTATAGTTTGTAAATTTTTTTTATCGTAACATCTAAATGATGTGTTTAATATTTTTTTTTTTATTAAAAACCCTTTAATAAAAAAAAATATTAAAATTTAATTACACATTATTTGAATTGATTTTGAAATCGATTATATAGAATAACCTGGAATTGTTTGGTTCGGATAATCGAGATTCTAATGTAAAATGCAATGCAATACATTATCGTAAGTATGGTAAACTATATAATACCTATTAATAAGTCTGAATTTAGCATTATAACTTGGCAAGTGAAACACTGTCATTACAGTTCGTATAACTCGCTCGCTTAAAGAACTGTGCACGTGTCACGTACAAACGTATAGCACGCTGGACCAGTCGTCCCATTCGGGATGCGACTGCTCGTGCTCGATGGGATGTTCGGCGAGCAGCTCGTCGCACTATCCGCGGGGTCACGTGTGCTGCGCCAGTAGCGCGTCCAGTTGGTTCTGTGTGTCGTTTTGCGCTTGCGCTTGCGCCTGCACCTGCGCCTGCGCCTGCGCCGCGGCTAGCGAGGAAGCGACATGTTGTGGGATATTTATTTGGACAGCCGGCACGTTCACGTTTGCACTCGTTGGGACCTGAAATAAATATATATAACATGATTAGATGGAACCCCAATGTATTGTCTAGCGCCCACTCCAGGGCTAAAACATCATATGATTTCAGCGATTGACTGTCCACTGCTGAACATAGGAATATGCTGCTTATTGAAAGGTTTTTGCTAGTAGTTTCCACGCTTGGCTCGCGGGTTGGCAACCGCAGTTAGGCTTTGGTGTTTTAAGAGGGATTCTGCTGTCCATCTCCTCGACCATTAAATTCCCTTAGGACGAATCTTACGACACAAAACACCTTACTTCTTATGGATAGGTAAGGTATTTCGGAGATTTTGTGAGGCCCATCGTACTGTTCATGTTTATAAGCTATAGTAGGCCATCAGTTTATTTACCAATCCATTTTGCATAGAAAAAAATCGAATTCAGAACATGAAGTGGCATTATCTCTTGAAAGGAAAAAATATCCAACAATTATTGTTTATACTAACATGGATCGTGATTTCTGGCAGTAAGGAATTGTTGTGTGTAGAAACGGAGGCGGACGCTGAAGCGGAAGCGGAGGCGGAGGCGGCGAGCGACTGTAGAGAGGGCTTGATGTCGAGCAGCTCTCCGCTTGCCTCTTCGCGCGCTCGCTTGCTCTCGTGCGATCGCGTGTGCTTGCGGAGGTGGTCTTTGCGATAGAAACCTGTATACAAGTTGTTAACAACATATTATATATATAGTGTTGGTAAAAATATTTTTTTGTTTTTCATATAATGTAAAATTTGAAGCTTTAGTATATACAAATAGGAACGACCAACTCCAAAAGTATAGGAAAAAGAACTGAAACATTTCGACATTAATAGTATTATTTATAAGGAACACATTGTATGATATTTTGTATTTGACTGTTTACATACATTTAAAAATTTTCTAATGTATTATTATTTAATGTAATCTAGTTGTTATGCATATTACAGGACCATCATAAGAACAATTTTGCTCAGATATAAAGTAATTTACCTAAGATATCTAAAATTGTTACCTACATGTGATAATTTCCAACTAAAAATGGAAAAATGTGACTAATGAATAAGGGTACAAAACAATAGGAGGTTCAATTTAATACATTGCCAATTGTATAATATATTAGAAAGAGTATAAGAATATCCCCAGAAGTAAGACTTCTGTTCTAAAGAAGAAAAAAGTGCCTAATTAATTTTTTACTTGCAAAATGTACGCTCACCCTTGCCGCACTCGCCACAGAGCTCTGTCTTGACGCCGGAGTGTATGACAGTGTGCAGGTTGAGGTGTTCGCGCCGCTTGAACCCTTTACGGCACACGCCGCATACGTACGGCCGCTCCGGGTTGTGGCCCAGCTTGTGTCGCTCTAGGTGCTCCTTGCGTTTCAGTCTGCCGGCAACCGAGTCACTCGTTAGCCATACATAGAAATTGCTTACAAACTTTTTACACTAGAGGTAAGGTTCCTGACCTTACTATATTTCAACTTGTTGTAATTATATACTGTTGAATTAATGTATAGCTGTGAAAAATATTATATGTCTGTATCTAATATACAATAGGCATTTACGGTAAAGATATTTTCAATTATAATTCGAAGTGGCGAGAAGAGGAAACAGAGCAAGTATTATATCTAGCTATTATAACAATGAGACACTGATATTATTAATTTAAATGTTAAATACGAAAAAACATTTGATACTTTCTTTGTAAAAAAAAAATAGTTAAAGAACACAAGAAGTGTAAAACAATGCAGGTTTTATATAAAATGCAATGCAAATGGGTTTGTTACCTATATGTACATTCGTAAATTTTTTAAAAATCTTTTAAGATTCTTTTTTTAAAATGTACTATATTTTATTTATTTTATTTTTATAAACAGTACAATCAGCTGAAAAAATGTTGGCAAACATCTTCATCCTCACACTATACATATATAAATGAATCACTAAATGTGTTGTTAAGTGTAAAACTCAAAACCAGCTCTCTCTTTCTTTTCATTTAAGAGTTTCCTCTTGTCGATGCAACTAATTCATGCATCTTCCTCCAGCCAGCTCTATCCCAGGCCATATCCTTGATCTCCCTATACGACAATTACATACAATTCGATAATTTTTTTTTTTTCATATACTCCTTGAAAGCCAAGGAAAATTTTATGCTTACAGATTGATCCCATAGAAATGTTATCAAAATCGGTCTAGTAGATTATTTTTAAAATCAAACCAACTGGTTTTGCCCCAAATGAGGTCGGTTTATTTTTGTCAAACACAATTTAATTATTATGGAGAAAAATTGCACAGAAAAATCTAAGAATCCCGCTTTTTTATATATTAATTGTTCCTAGTTGCCAATTAAAACACTTCAAACAAATGTTGTCTAACAGCTTCTGATATAATGATATCTAGTCAGTATCACTTCATGATACTCATTAATTGCATATTAATCCTTAAATGCCTGAAGTTAATTTTAATACCGGGGTTAGCATTGTTTCATTGTTAAATAAATTTAAATATTTTGATCACCGTAATGCCTAAAGTATCAAAAATTATACCAAATGTTTTTTTCAAAATAAATATATAAAAATTTCGTTTTGATTTTTTTACTATTTTTCCCCATTAGTAAAAACAGTAAAGGATACACTTATATATTTTTTAGTTTGATTTAAAAAATCAGGCTTTTAAGGGTTAAAACTGGCTAGAAGCTCTTGACTTTAACACTGGCCATAGTCGAGAGTACAGTCAGCAAAGTAAAATTGTGTATTTTTAATTTCTTCTTAAAGCTACACTCACCCAGCACCACAAATTCCACATATGAAACGCCTTTCAATTTTGTGCACGATCAAATGCATCTCGAGCTGCTCCTTCTCCGGGTACGCCATCTGACACTCGGGACAGCAGAATATCGGTGTGCCGTCGCTGGCGGTCGCTATGACGACCTGTCCGGGCTTAGGACGAGCCGGCCGTGGTGGTTTCTTCTTGTACTTCTTCTTCTTTTTATTCTGTGTGATTCTTATCGTGCCGTCTAGAAGAATTGTGGTTATTAGTTTCATATATTATATAACTTGTTCAGAGACTAATAGTCTTATTACAAAAAAATAAAATACTGATTACCTAAACATCTATCTATACTTATAATAAATCTGTAGAGAGGTCAATTCTGTACATGAAATATATTTCCAAAATAACTATCTGGGGGTGATTAGTGATCGATACTGATGCCAAAAATGCAATCAGTAAAATTTTTGTCTGTCCGTCTATCTGTATATTCGTTATAGAAAGTAAGTAAGAACTAAAGAGTAAGTAAGATAAGAAGCACGCTCCCTTAACTCACGCAATAAGGTTATTAAATAATATTATAAACATCATTGATATATTTAGTAGTAGCCTGCTAAAGATATTAGAAGCGGCTCAGAAATATCTAGAGTTGGGTTAAATACATTTATTTTAACTTTGTATGTTAGCACACTAGATTTATTACATTGATTTGGCTTTTGCTGTTATAATGTTATAATTCTTTTTAATGAATAAATAAATAAATAAAATAAAATCTATCCACCCTAAAAAAAACATTCACATTTATAATATTACTCGTGACTTTGTGCGCGTAACCAGGATAAAAAGTAGCTTAAATCCTTTTCCATCCCATACTAGGCATAAAACAAACTTCATAGTCTTTGATTTTTTTTGTTATTATTGGTTAAATAGTTAAGGCACTTTAAGGTAACAAACAAACTCACTTTCACATTTATAATCTTAGTAAGGAATGGAAGTACAATGTACCTACCTTCTTCTAATATTGCTTCGGTGATGGGCTCGTCCTTCTTGTCGTTCTCGACTGACTCCACCTCTATCTCCATTGTCGGACACTTCTTCATGTCGGCCGGGTTCAACCGTAGGAACTGTTGCAGCGACGCAGGCAACGCTTGCGTTTGCTGCAACATACAATAATTTATCACTAACCGTCACCCGCGGCTTTGCACGCACACATTCTTAACACTATTGTAATTAATATTAAACTTTTTATTCATAAAAACTGAAACCTAAAAACAAACCTATTTTATTTATATCTGTGTTTTGTTACTATCTTTCTAATTGAGAATTTAGTGTAAAAGAAAAAGACAAAACACTTTAATTTAAATATAATTTAAATTAAAGTGCTTTTTTTTTAAATAATATTTTTTGTAATAAATTTTATAATTTAAAGATAAAAAAAAATTCTTTAGTCTCTTTCAATGACTAATAATAATCGATCCAACCATAAAAGTTTATTAAAATCGAATAGTAATATATAGATTATATCGATCGATTGATTTAATCATAGGTGTATTAAGGGGAACTGGATGAGTCCTTCCACCTCAGGATTACGTGATGCGAGCAAAATTTTTTACCATACGAAATAAGTATCGAATAGTTCATAATGTGTCTTTTTAGATGGAGAAGAACCCCCTGGAACATAAGCTTAAATATGGCAATGGATTTATTGTTTCAATTTATTGCTAATTTGATTTTGATAACTTTAATGATGTTTTTTTTATTTTTGTATTGTATCATCTTCGTCATTATATCAGTCATTAACTGTCCATTGTTGAACATAGAAGTCTCCCTATTCAGGGGTTTTGCCAATAGTCGCCACGTTTGGCAGGTGAAACGGCAACCAGGCTAGGCTTAGGATTAGGTGATATTTTAAGAGGGATGCTGCTGTACGTCTCTTGACCATTAAGTTCCCTTAGCCGCTTCTTACGACACCTACAGTTAAGGAAGTTGTTAGTCCATTCTAACCCGGGACAAATCCCATTGCTAGTAATATACCCAACCAGGTCGACCTCCTCGTGGTTCCCCCTGGAAACTATCATGGTTGATTCTTGATGAATTCATCATGATGGGCTAACTGGCCTGTTTTCATTCTCATCTATCACCCTTCACTGTTGCTTCGCCAGCGTATCCCGTTAGCGCAGGCGGAGTTACCACTCCATTTTCACCCATCAAAAAAAAAAAAAACCCGGGACCACACGACATTGTATTGTGTAGTAAACAAAAACAAATTACGACCAACCTGCGGCGGTAGAGTGTTGAGATACTTAATGAGATCTTGCTGATTGCTGGAGGTCATCTGCCACGACATACCGTCACTTGCTTCAGTGCCTTGAGAGCTCTCCTGTTTAAATAAACAATACTAGATAAGGCGAGATTATTAAAATTGACTCTAAAATCTAATTATGCATTTATGTGCATAGAGAACATTTAGACCAATACATATTTATGAATACAAATATATTTTAAAACTGACTTTAAAAAAAGCGGTTCTAAACTTGTGGTATTTTTTTTTTTACATTTATTACCTCATAATTCTATAAGTTAGAAACTAAGTTGATTTGAGATTAAGAGAGTTCTTTTATCTAAAAAGATATACCTTCAAATTAGTCTAAAAAAAAGATTTATCAAAATCGGTCATTCATTTATAAATCAAAATATTATATGTATTACCACAACTGAAATCAGGTTTTAGGTATATGAATAAAGAAATACCTAAATACTGTTCGATACTTTGTACTTACATTTTCAAATAGCGATTAAAATCTGTAGTATTTTCTTATATTTTCATGGAAATCGAAAAACTATGGAAAGATGTTAAAAATGTGATTGGAGCCCCTCAGAATAATTTTTTTTATGTTTTATAATTTATTAAATTTTATTATACTAACGTCGTCGTTCATAGTATCATCGCACTCTTCCTTGATGATGATGTTGGTGACGGCATCAATGTTGTTGTTGTTCGCCGCAGTCAATTTGAGGTCATCAGGCCCATTGATTATTATCTGCTGATCCGGGGTTATAAACACCTATACAAAACAACGTATAATGTGAACATCGGAAATAATCATCTTTTTAACCGACTTCAAAAAAGAGGTTCTCATTCAGTTATATTTTTGTTTTTTTTTGTCACGTTTCCTCATAACTCCGTCAGTTCTTAACCGATTTGAAAAATTCTTTTTTATTTGAAAAGATATTTTTTTACTGATTGGCCTCATAGAAATTTTATCAATATTGGTTTAGTAAGTTTAGTTCTTGGATCAAAATAATTAGTTTTGTCCCATTTGAAGTAAATTTTTTTATGGGACACAATTTTTAATCATTAAAATATTAATGAAGTTGCATAGTTAATAGGTTATGTCATAAGATATGCATATAAAAGTATGTTTTTTTTATACAACTTAGAATGGCAAACAAGCTGACGGCCCACCTGATGGAAAGTGGTAACCGGCGCCTATAGACATGAGCAGTACCATGGACATAACAGAGTGTATTATTTAAAATTAACTTCATCTAATGGATATTGGTATTATATAGATATTGGTATTTACATTATATTTATAATATTGTATGTAGATAAAGTGCAATTATGCAATTGCACTTTATCTGTATTATAACTCACTAGAACTGAAATTTAAGCAGTGTGACGTAACAGACAAAAATCAAAGATTGTTTCGATTTTGCTTATTTTCATTCCATCCAGCTAATTTTTGGTAAAAAAAAACCAGAGGTTTCAAGTTTTACGAATTTATTATTTCGAAATTCAAATTCCGTCTGCCATTAGCTGTTTAGTACTTAACATAACCTCCCCCGTGATGGGGGTTTTGCTAACAGTTGTCACTCCTTAATAGATGGATTGGCAACTGCAGTTTGCCTTTTGGTGATGTTTTAAAAGGGCCATCTCTTGAACATTAAGTTCTTTTAGTCACCTCTTATGACACTTGCGGGAAAGGAAAGGGTGGCCTATTCCACGCTGAAACCTACAGTTATTATTTTAGCATAATTGTATATAATGTAAATTAGAGCTATATAAATACCTGATGTTGCAAGTTTTGTTGCAGCTGCTCTTTGCTGTCATGCGCCTGCGCCTGCGCCGGCTGCATTAGCTGCATCTCTTGTGGCAGCGTCGCAACCACTTGCAGACCGGCTAGAAAACAATAGATAATTACAATATTATATCAAAATTTCCAACGTTACATTGCATTTATCATATTGCGGTCTTCAAAACATAGGAGTGTACATTCAAAAATAGTTTTTTAGACTTAAAACATAATTACTATATTCTATTACTACAGGGTGAAATAGTGGTATGTAACTAAGTAACGTAACATAAGTACTTATTACTTACTTTAGTACTATTATTTATACTGTAGTTAAACTAAGAATCTATCCACACATAATTAAATATTATAAACGAGAAAGATTAGATTTTTTTTTGTAATGAAAAACTCAAAAACTACTCGATCGATTTTAAAAAATTCTTTTACCTTCATTATCAGCGTGTAATATAGGCTATATGTTATTTTTGATAGTTTTATCCACCCTTGCGTAATCATGCTGAATCACTGGTATATGACCTATTATATATATCAGCTGCCATGAATATGTACCGATTCACGAGGCAATGCCGCGGGATATAGCTAGCTATATTTATTTTGCTTCCTACATAAAATCGTACTATTAGATTCCTCAGATACAAGCTCAACCCATATGGGGATCATAGTTAAGCAATTCTGTAACTTACTGTCATGAATAAAGATTATTATTGTTATACAAGGTCGTGCTGTGCTACGTTAACTTTTTTTAATGGATGATAATAGAATGGTAACCACACCTGAGCTATCGGTATACGCTGGCAGGGCACCAGTGAAAAATTACAGGTGAGGATGAAAGCAGATTAGTTGATTAATCGAAAGGAATTCAACAAGAATTAACCACAATGGCTTACAAAGGGAACCGCGTGGAGGTCAACCTTATTAATAATGTAAATTATAAATATGCTCATTGGTGTTGACAATGAAATATCATGAAAAATGTGACTGTTATATAGAAAATATATGGGGAAATCAGTCGCGTGGAGATAACAGGTATTAGTTTAATAAAATAGGTATAATTTTATATACAAAATAAGTGCATTATATGATTGTGCAACACGATGTAACAAAAAGAGATTAGTAAACACCTAAAGCAAGTAAATTCACCTGGAGTTCTCATCCTGTAAGTACCTGAACATGAAAAAAAAGTGTATTTAGAAATTAGCATTGCTGTAGTTTTATTTTTCCTATGTCAAATCAATCAAGGTCATGCACCTGATGGATATTATAGAATATGTCTATGGTTTTTTTTTATACAACCTAGAATGGCAATCAAGCTGACGGCCCACCTGATGGAAAGTGGTAACCATCGCCTATAGACATGAGCAGTACCATGGACATAACAGAGTATACTGTTTCGCCCATGATACCCCCCATGCGTTGCCATTCCTGAGGACTCAGGTGTTATTCCTCTGTACCCAGTAAATTCACGCCATATCCCACCCTTCAAACCTAAACACAGCCATGCAAACGCAACTGCTTCACGGTTGAAACACGAATGGGACAGAGGTGCCCAAGCAATCGACTTTTGTACAAAGTCTCCCTCTGGTACTCCTGAGTCAATTCTGAGGATTAACATCTTATGTCTGAGTGTAACCCTACTAGGGAAAGGGATTATTAGCAATTAGGTCTGTTCATGGATATAGACGATTGTTACCACTTTCATCAGGTGGGCGCGGTCAGCTTCTTTGCCTAAGTTATATAAAAATAAAAGCCTATTGCGAGCAATATACCAGGATCCATGCGGTTGCCCCTGGAAACCATCGTGGTTAATTCTTGTGGAATTCGTCACGATGGGTTAACTGACTTACATTATTTCTCACCCATCATCTCTCACTGGTGCCCCGATAGTATATACCGATAGCTTAAGTGAGGTTACCATTCCATTGTCACCCATTAAAAAAATCTGTAACCCTACTCAATTGCTGAGACAAAAGGCACCTTGATTCTCAGAATTAGCAAATCTTTGAAATATCGTGGTGTAGTATTTGAGGGTATCAAGTTACACTATTGAAAGTAACTAAGAAACAAAATGTCATTTAGTCTGTAACCGACCAGTAAACAAGTAACAGTAATCTTGCATTTTTATTTCGATATCTCTGGACATACATTACACGTGGATAGGAATATACATAAGAAATGGGATGTCTTTTATATTCATGTACCAATAATGTAATAACTACATTTATCTTTAACTTACTAATATATGTTGATTACGATTTCTCCTCATAAAAACAGAATGAGGAGTATAACAATATATTATTATTACCACTTAAGCAATTATTGAATTATAAACCTTTAATATATTTCCATAGAAAATTAAGGAATTACCTTCTGTTAATGCGTTCTGACCCACTAGTTGGATGCTACCAGCTTCGTTTCCTTCTGGTGAATATGCTACAGTAAGTACTGCTCCACCTGTTGAACAAATTAGAATTATAAGTAAAAAAAATTTTACTAATACAATAAATATGTAGCTAGACAATGTCTATACGCGGAAGATATTGATATGGGGGGCTCTAATAAGACCAATCAATATATTTTTTTTAAATTTTGTCTATTTATCTGTATGTATGTTTATTCTGGCATCACACAAAAACTATGGCACCAAAATAGATGAATTCATAGTTATGTTCCTAAAGGTGTAACATAAAAACTGATATTAACCCTTTTAGTGGGGGGAAAGGGATTGTTAGTAATGGAGACTGAGAATCCCATTGCTAGCAATATACCCAACCAGGTCAACCTCCTCGCGGTTCTCCCTGGAAACTATAATGGTTAATTCCTAATGAATTCATCATGATGGGCTAACTGGTCTGTTTTCATTCTCATCTATCACCCTTCACTGGTGCTCCGCCAGTGTATCCCGTTTGCGCAGGCGGGGTACCATACCATTTTCACCCATCAAAAAAAAAACCCTTTTAGTGCCATTGATTTTTACTCATATCTACTTAAAAATGCTAAAGAAATTTTGTCGTATTGATGTCATTCACCCTTGTCTCTATAAAAAACTGTATCTCCTCCAAAAATTATCAAATTTAATATTTTTTTTTACAGCAAGCTAAACAGCGACTGATTTCACGAGCGCTAATAACGCTCGTGGCACTTTTAGTTGCAATGCGCACGAGCGCGATGGCGCTCGTCGGCACTCAAAGGGTTAATCTTGGTACACCATCTAGAAGTAGTCTATTTCAGTGGTATTCGTACTTATGAAATACACGCATACGAAACAGTGGGCAGATAAATGTTATTAGTGGAAGCTTTATTGGTTAATAATTATTTACTATGTAATATTTTATCTGTTAATTGTACTGTTTGTTTCCCAAATAAAAAAAAAATAAATAAAAAAAAATATATAAATAAAACCCTATTCATCTATTAGATCAGGGATTCTCAAACTTATTTTGTCTACTGCCAACTTTAAGAATAAATTATTTTTTAGCTCCCCCATTTTTTCACCTACTTAAAAACCACTATTACTTCAAGATCAACAAATCACCTCCCAAGCCTCTACATAACGCCCCCATTTTTTTTCTGGGTCTCATATCGCCCTCCTTTAGGCCTGCAGCGCCCACAGGAGGGCGTTTCCGCCCACTTTGGGAAAAGCTGTATTGATGAAGACAGAATAGTAAACCCATTGTCAATCATGATGGGGCACTAGTGGAGGATTGAATGATCAAGATGAAGTTAGAACATGTAACCCGTTATTATAACTTCACTGAAAAACAACTGAGTCAAACAAAAATCATACCTTGTTGAAAGCCTTGAATTGGTATCTGCATTTGATATTTTGGTTGTTGCTGAGGTTGCAACGTCAGGTTCGGTGCTAGCACCTGAATCTGGAACGTTTGTTGTGGATCACCTGTGGATATGTACATTACATAGGTTATAATATTTATATAAGTTTATTGAAAATACTTTATAAATTGTTTTAAAATTATAACAAACTGTCATCTATCCAAATTACTACACACTAGAAATAGGGTTCGTATAATAATAAATAAATTTATACTATAATATAGACAGAAAACATCAATTTTAAAAAATACAACATAACAGGCTAATGACCCATCTGATGGGTAGCATTAACCATCGACTATAGACATGAACACTACCACCATAGTTCCTAAGAATTGAATTATAATTTCACTACTTTATCTTGCCTTTTATAAAAGAATCAATACACATCCATGTAAGCACAGATGTTTCTTGGCAGACACACCAGTGGGACAGATGTACCCATGAGGAAAACTTTTATACAGTCTGTCTTTTGGTTTCCTTATTGCCTTACTGACCCCCACTATATTAGTACATGAGTTATATTTAATTACACCAACCAGGCTTGGCGCCGGGGAGCGCGATAGGCACGGAGATGAGCTGCGGCGCGGTCTGCAGTGTTGCACCGCCCTCTAACGTTCGCACATACTGCACACTGTCGCCCATGTTTACGCCGCCCACCATGCCTACAACCTGGAAGTAAACCATTTTAGGATGATTACTTATTGGTTCTGGTCGATTCTTAAAATTATACTACTAAATGGGATACAATTTTATAAATAAACCAGAGTATTTATAAGTAAGAACATGTGTGTTGGTTATTCTAAAACCACGTAACTATTTAATTTACTCTGTATACCTACTTATTATTTAAATATTTACAACAAAGCTGCAGGTCTACTCGTGAACCTAATATCAATATCAATCCAATCTATTGCCAATGACAATTTAATATTGCACCCATAAAACAATAGTTAGGAATTAGGTTATAATTGGAATCGGTTAATAATAATTTGCATTGGCAAATTATACTAATATACATCTATTAAAACAATATGCAACGATTATGTTGCTAGTACTGTAATTCGAGAGTGCGAAACATCTAAATTTCAATATCGATTTATCGGAATTTATTTCAAGATTAAATCCGCAGAAACGTTTGTGTCTGAATCTAATCCAGTGGTTTTCTAAATAATACTCATCTATAAGACCTCTGTTATTTCTATTTTATATTCTAAATGTAATTTACTCAAGACTGACAGTGAGGATAATCTTTCTGGTTTGATGTCTATATGTCTAAACTGATTGATGGAATTTAACAATTGAAATTGTTGTAAGGCATATAAAAAAAATTGCAAAAAATTGAGCTCGGAAAGACAATAGATTTAATTTTTGTGACATTATTATATCCATTTGTTTCAAGTGTAGTTAGTAAAGAATTACAATTTACTAACATAGGTTAAGTACATTATTACTAATAAAATAACTCTTATGTTGTCTAAATAAATAAATATATTATTATATTATAAAAATATTATTATTTCGTTTCGTCTACAAATAGTAAATATGTATTAATTTTTTTTATTTTTATTCAACTTAGAATGGCAAACAAGCTGACGGTCCACCTGATGGAAAGTGGTAACCGTCGCCTATAGACATGAGTAGTACTATGGACATAACAGAGTATACTGTTTCGCCCATGATACCCCCCATGCGTTGCCATTCCTGAGGACTCAGGTGTTATTCCTCTAATTATAGTAATTAGTTATACCCAGTAAATTTAGACGTTTTAATGACGTCTATGGCGTAATGGTAAGCAGTAAGCAATGTGCTTGCTTTGTTTAATATAAATGAGGCTTCAAATTCGATTTTCATTCTGGTCAATTTATGAGACAAACCTTTTTAAAATTGGGTCAGAATGTTTTGGGTGCTGACCCTAGATATTCTTTGCCTAATTTCTTATAAGACTAACTATACAAATTTTTTGATCAGTCAAGCTGTGTGGTCATGTGACACATACTATTAACTGATTAGTCCATTAAAATTATTTACATTTGAGGATTGACTACTTAGTTAGATTAGTGGAATTTACCTTCCATATTATTAATCAATCTGTGACCATACTAATGGCAATAAAATAATGACTCATACTAATGGTAGTGGACTTCAAATAATTTTAATTGACTAACCAATGATATGGACCTAAGCAAAATAATAGTTTTGTAAAATATGCTATATGTAAAATATGGTATATATAATGCTACTAAAATATATTTGGAAAATGTAGTGTAGTATATATATATATATATATATATATATATATATATATATATATATATATATATATATATATATATATATATATATATATATATACATATATATATACGAGGTTTGTCCGGAAAGTACGTATAAAAGTTTTTTAAAAATTTTATTTTACAATTATTCAGGTAAATCAATTTTATCCCCTTCAAAGTACTCCCCCTGTGACATAATGCACTTGTGCCAACGCCGTTTCCACTGTGAGAAGGCTCCTTGAAAGTCCTCTGGTTGTAGGTTTCTCAGCTGCCCCGTCGTAGCTTTTTTTATCTCATTTATGTCCCCCAAATGCCGCCCCCGAAGTACCAATTTGGTTTTTGGGAACAAGAAGAAGTCACACGGGGCCAAATCCGGCGAATAGGGGGGGGGTGTTCGGTCACCGTAATGGAATTTTTACTCAAAAACTCACGGACAACAAGAGAGGTGTGGGCAGGGGCATTGTCGTGGTGAAGAATCCAACGCCCCTCTCGCGCCAATTCTGGACGAACTCGTGCCACACGAGCTTTGAGGCGTCTGAGCACATCGACGTAGAATTTTCCATCAACTGTCTGGCCTGGAGGGACGAATTCTTGATGGACAATCCCCCGAACATCGAAAAAAACAATCAACATTGTCTTGACCTTTTTAGCCACTTGTGGACGGTTGGTTCCTTCACAGCATCATCCCCATAAACTGTTCTGAGATCGGCAAAAATTTCACGGCCATTCTTGCCGAGTTTCGAGAGAAACTTGATTACGACGCGCTGCTCTTCAACGGAAGCGGGCTCCATGCCGACGGGGTTTCGTTAAGAGGTAACTTCACAGATGGCGTGACAAGCCAGTTCGCACCGCACGGTGGTCAGACCAGAACTGAAGCATTGTTAGGGACATAAGGAAGGGGTCCTGCGCTTACCTGGCCTCCCCACTCCTCTTTCTCGCATTCCAGAACACTTTTATACGAACTTTCCGGACAGACCTCGTATATATATATAAACAAAATATTATCATTATATCAAGAGTACCAAAACAATTACATTATCTTGGACCTTTGACATTTATAAATTAGTATAAAAATGTCTGTGAAATAACATTGTTAATGTTTGTTTTTAATTACCTCTAAAATACAATGTATCAGAAGACTGTTACATGACTGTAATCAATTTTGATTCTAGATTAAACGAATTTTAAACATTGACTTTTATAACAAAAGTTATCTGGTATAATTAAGCTTTTAACCATTTTTCTCTAGATAATTTTAGAGCAATTTATCAATAGTTCAAAAAGCATACCTATTATTTATTACATGACAATTAATGTTGAAAAATATTATGTGTATGATAGTATATAAAACAGACTGCAGACTCTAAATATAACATATATTAGGAGACTTTACATTGTTTAAAGGATGTTTCGCCTTATGAGTGTTCAGATATAAATATTCTGATAGATATATATGATATATAAAAAATATCTACATATAAAAATATATTAAATATTGAAAATTTGCCAAAAAAAATTTTGGAAATTATTAAAAAAACTTCAAGGTTACCAATGAAAAGTTTCAGTATAAATCAATAATTAGTTCTTGAACTAATTAACAATTAAAGGTCTTAACATTGGAATTAGTTAACTGCATCATAATCTAGTTTATGTATCTATTTATTTATTTATTTTATACAAAAATTCACAGCTCTTAAAAACACAACTTATATGCTAAGTCTCTTACGAATACAGCCAATAACAGATTTTATTTATACAAATGAAAATTATAAAATTTCAAAGCAAAGTAGGCAAGTTACAGTGGGTATGCAAGTAATATAAGTACATGTATAAAAGAAACTATGTATATATCTATGAATGTATATGTCAAGTATGTATCTATGAATACTTGCTCCTCTTAATCTATTTAAAGACAAAGACTAAATCTGTATTGTAATATTTTGATGACCTGATATAGTTTTGATTTAAATTACTATTGACTTTCAATTAAATGTCGCCAATATTTGTAAAGTCTTTAATATTTTAAATATATTGCTTTTGTACACATGCATACACATAAATTTGATCCAATTAATACATTCATCGGTAAATTAAAAATGTAATTAATTCTTAATTTTATTAGCATAACTTTTGTGACTTAATGAGCCTTATGTTTATTTGTAATTATTTTTATTGATTTTAATTAATAACTAATTAATATTTCATTATTGTAAGTTATGCCATTCTTTCCTTAATACTTGCCTTGGTCCATAAAAAATATGTAAAATATTAACTATACTGATTCAGAATAAGATATACATAAGGAATAAAAACTTTTGATTTGATTTTTCATATAAAAAGATTCTAATTTTGAAAGCAATGAAACATAAGTAATATTGTTGTCATTGTAACTTAAAATTTTCTATTTTTTTTTTATTCAAATTTCTTTTTCTACTGGGAGTAGATGTCCAAACAAAATTGGAAACTTTTAACATTTCAATTCTATTGCTCTTATTCTATAAATGTTATATTCCATACCTGGGATAATGCTGTGCCATTGTTGGACACATTCTGCTGCATCTTAGCAACTGGTAGCTGGCCCCCTGTGGTCACAAAATGAGTGCCAGCAGCACCAACTGCTGAGAATGCAGCAAAGTTCATCTCAGAATCTTCGTCACTGTAAATTAAATATAGATTAATAATGTACAAATATTTCTATATTTTATATGATTTATATATCAATTGTATATTAGTTAATAATGAAATGTACAGCTCAAATGATGAAATAGAATATTAAAATTTTGCATAGAAATCTCTAGTACAAAGTAGGTGAGTAACTGATTAAAACATATCCTTTAGGAGTTAAAAAAGTTAAATTTGGTATGATGGGTTGTAGCAAAGTCCTGCATTAGAGTTCTTATAAACACATAGTTAGTTACAGTTAAATTTCAATCTTTTGTTATTCCAATAATTACAAATATTTAATAATTCTAGAGGCATCATCATTATCATCATCGTATCAGCTTTTAACTGCTCACTGCGGAACAAAAGTTTCCCCCTTGAGGGGTTTTGCCTATAGTTGGCATCCTTGGCAGGTGGATCAGCAATCACATTTAGGCTTTAGAGATGTTTTAAGAGGGACGCTGTTGCCCATCCCTCACCCTCCTTTAGTCGACTCTTTTGACATCCACAGAAAGGAAGGGGTGGCCTATTCTATGCCAGGACCACATGACTATCAATAGGCATAGAATATTATAAATTTCTAATAATTTTGTCATACCGAAAATTTATAACACATGAAAGTTACAAAGCTGCTTTTGCAAATGGACTTTTACATAAGAGTGAAAGTTTTTTTTCCCCCTAATAATTACGTTACTTCTATGTAGTAAAAGTACTCATTACTTTATAACACTATTTATTTTGTCTTTAAAACTTAAGTAAGTGTATATAGCTAAAAGGGAAACGTCATTAGCTCCATATTTTAACCTTAAAAGAAATTATTTAATATCATTTTAAATCAATGTTTTGTTTATAGCGTACCAAGAGGCATCGTCTCTTGTAGGCATTTTCTGCATGTCGCACATCGCTACACCCTCCACTGCGCCGGCAGCGGGGAAAAAAACGAATAAAAAAAGAACCACAGTCCCACTTGAGTCATCGAGATCCACCCGCGCTATCCCCACGTCCCACCACCGCGGCGGCAGCAGGGACTACACTGGGACACCGATGGTAGGGCACATACCACTGCCGACCACCAAACACGACACAACACTAAAATTAATTCAACGACGGCGAGAGGCGAGATGTTCGCGAATGACTAGTAATAAGAAAGTGGGTTAAAGAAAGTTTTTTGTGCGCGCTGGATAGTTGACTGGCAAGTTAGTTATACACACTGGCAGACAATTGGACTGTGTATGTGCAGCTCTAACGTGCTTCTCACTTTCTCTTTACTGTACTTTCACAAGACACACTCTGAGGTGTGGTTGTGGTTCACTGACTATGAGCCTGGTGGTTGAGTAACTAGCTTGTGTTAGTCCATGCATGATTATTTATTAGATGCCCGATAATTTAAAAATATATATGCATCATTCTATTTTTTTAAAGAAATAAAATAAAACACTGTATATTTGTAAATCATAAATGTCAACTTATTTTTGAAAAGAGAAATAAATAAGTTTCTTGCCCTACCTTCTCAGTTAAAATTACATTCCGAATTGGAGGGTAGAAAAAATATTATTAAAAATGTTTACAATTATTATTTAAATATTCAAATAAAAAATGTTCTTATTCATAAAATGAATTTATGATTTTATTGTAATAAACATATATATAAATATATATATATATATTATAATAAAAAAACCAGATTCTAACTCAAAACTCGAATGAACAACATTTTAGTCATTGTCCTAAGATATAAAGACCTTGATAGCCTTGTCAATAGAAAGTTTAGTTTCTATAGTTGTGAGGTCATTAGTTAATTACAAATACCAAGTATTGATCTTATAGCTCCTTCATTATAGCCTGAAATAAAGTTTATGTAAACTATGTATAAAATTTCTAAGTTTTTTAAAGTTAATGTTTTAGGATTTTTAGAAAAAAGCCTGTGGGAATTATTTTTACGGGTTTACAGATGTTTAAAAACAAAGAGCTGCCAATAAAAATGGCCGTTTCTTTAGTTACGCAATTAGATACAAAGCAACTACAAATATTTTCAAAATTCAAATGAAAGGGTGCCTGAATGGTGGTAGGCGGACCCAGACGGCTCACAAATCGAAGGTTGTTCACCCCTACCAGTTCCTTTTGCCCCGTTGAACGTCCATCAAGAGCGACGCTACGCATCCCCACCAAGGTACGAGATCCCCTCCATGTGCTTTCTGCACCAAATCACTACCGATCCCGACTCCTTCCACCACTGTCAGGAAAATCGCGAGAGGAGGGGTGGCACGCGGCCCTCTCAGATAGCACTCAGCCCGCCACGCGCCCGGGTAACGGTAAATCAAAGTACCGTTTTGGTAAATAGGGTCATGGATTTTTCACACACATAAACAAAACTATACAGAACACTCACCTTCAATCAAAAAAATCTTCTTGTGTATATAAATGAACTTTATTACTTCAAAAACATTTATTTAATTCCATACTTTACTAATCACAAAAAGACACGCCTGCCCTTCTCTTTTCGCATTTACAATAAAATGAAATCCGCCATTGCTATTTTATCGTCTATGACACTTGTCGATAGATGGCGTTCGAAACATTTATGTGATTGGTTGAATTTACAAACTACTACTCCATTCATCTGACAATTTTGACGTACTTACCTCAGGTACCTAATTGTGAAATTTGTTCACGAATAATAGGGATTCATAAAAAATATGGTTTGGTTTTAATTAATCAACTTTATTTATACTATAAATAATATATTAAAATACACACTAAAGAATAGCCATAATCAAGTAGATGGTATATAATACTTAACGACTACCTAATTTATTATTTCAAAAGGGAAACTGTTGTCCAGATCTTTGTATTCTCTCCAAATGCAATTCAAATAATAACTTATTCTCGTAATAATAGCTACTCTCTGATGAACTGACGCCTGGATCATAACTTGGCCTTCTTTCGCAGTCTGTCGTTGAACTATGAGGTGAAGCAATACCATTTTCTGTGCTAATTCCATTAATTCTGGTATGGTCTTGATTTTGTGACACTGGAGTATTCGCAAGGTTGTTATTTATATGTAAATTGTTAATCCTTTTGGACAATGGCATAAATTCACAAGCATCATCTTCTCGGGACCGTTTTCTAAAACAAATATATTAATACACTTTAAAATAAATTTCAATAATAACACTTACAGAGCATAAACACAAGAAAACGATGAAGCTATAAGCATGATAACAACCTATTCTCTGTCATATTTCTGAAGATGTAATTCCCATTGCTACCAATACAGGTATTCCAATTTATGTTAATATCTTTCCCATAAGTCATCTGTTCACAAAATTCTTTTTTTTCAACCAGCATTAACAAAATATTATAAAACTTCCGAAATAAAAATGACAACTTTGACAATAAATGGTAGACAAGACAAAGAATTACTGGCTGGAATTGACGTTAAAGTAGCATGACAACTGACAGCACAAAAGCAGCCGTAGATATAGCGACATCTACCATTAATTGCATAGACTATGTATGGGTTAATATAACACTATGTATCTACTGCTATTTTTTATAATGTAATTGAATGATTAACTTATCTGTAACGATTATTATTATCTATTAAATTAATTCTTTCTTTTAAGATGCTATTGAGCAGAACGAACTTTTCAGACAGATACATTTTTTACTAGATGTCGCTTTTAGTTGTAAAGTAAATGAAATAATGTAACGATAAATTACCTAGAGATGGCGCGCGTGACATAATTTTGCTGATTGACTTGGTACTTATGTTTATAATGGGTGAGAATGAAAACGGTAACTTTGCCTTTGACGTACACTTTGGTAGACGTACAGTGAGAGATCTGCCGTTTCATCCTCATCTTTTATCCCTCACTGGTGCCTCGCCAGCGTATACCGTTAGCGCAGACGTGGTTACCGTTTAATTATCATTTATTAAAAAAAAACTGGCAATCCCATTGCTAGCAATATACCCTATCAAAACGACGTCCTCGTGGTTCTCTCTATTAACAATCGTGACTGATTTATTATTGAATACGTGACAATAACCTGATTGTCCTGTTTTATTCTCATCTATCATCCCTCACTGATGCCCCGCCAGTACAGATGGGCAAAGCACCGGGTTTAAACCCGGTGCTTTGGTAAAAACCCAATAAACACCCATAAACTCCCATAATCACCCAAAAAAATAGGTTTTTACGTATTTTTTTGAAAATATGTAAGTAATACCAATAAATTATTTTTATAAATTGTATTGATCAATTCTACAATATTAAATAAAACGTTAACTAATAATATTTCAGGAAATTTTAAAAATCTATATATAATAAAATGAAAGTAATTAATTTTCAGTGTTTTCATGTTGCAGTTGATCAACATGTTGGCCTTTTGCTTCCCGTAGATACTTTAAAATTTCTTCATAACACCTCGTTCGCACACATGGCCGTATATATTTAAATTCTTGAGCCACTAACAGTCCGAAATACTCATTTCTTTTATCCTCTTCTCCATAAATTAAGCATTTAGAACAGTTTGTTTCTTCTTTCAGTAAATTTTCTTTTACTTTATCCTCGTTTTTTTCTTTGTTGCGACGACGCTGGGTAAATCATCTGGACACTGGGTCTCACTATCGCCAAATATATTTGGAGATCGGCTTCGGCTACGGCTTGGCAGACATTTTTTTCTTTCTACAATTTTAAATTAAATTTATTAGAATAAATGCTTCGAACACACGCGATCTAAGTACCTTTTGTGTTTATTATACCTTACCTACCTAGGTATAAAAAGAGTACTTACGTAGATTTTCTTTTATTAACTGTTTTATACGAAGATCTTGATCTCTCAAATTAGCATCCATTTTACTTCCAGTGATTATCAACTAAATTAATAATCCACAAAGTATTAAATAACGTTTTTATGAAATATTTAGCACAAAAACAATACCCTTTAAATATCGATCGTCAGTAACTGTGGCTGACTTACCTATATTCTAGCAAGCAGGACTGCCAGATGTGAAGGGGAAATCCCCAATAAATTTTTGCATGTGACTGATGATGTGAGCATGTTCGTTTCATAATAAAAATGTTGCCAGGTAACCAAAAAGTCGTATGTTTTTGTGCGAATTACGATCATAATCTTTACGATCGTACATTAAAAAATAGACAAATAATAGTATGAGTACGATTTAAATCGTATATCTGTCAACCCTGCTAGCAAGACAGCGACAAAATCACGTTGCATAACAATGTAGCCCAAGCTTATATCTTATGAAATATACGGAAGAGATACGGACTTAGAAAAAACAGAAATGTTGTTCTTTGTGGAAGTCATTGATGAAATTCTATGTATTTTAGCCCGCAAACTTTCTTCAAACAAAAACAGCGCCATCTAGTATCGAGTTCTGTAATTATCTCTTTGTTTATGGATTTGAAGTAAGACCGCCACGCATGCAATACATTATGACTGGGGATTCCCCTATTCGTCGACGCTGAATATGAGGCGACGACAATCACTGTCAAACGTGTTCACTATTACTCTGACTCTGGTAACGTGACTTCCTGGTAACGTGTTAGGTAGGAAAAGCAGTAAAAAAGTGCATATTAAGGGAGCAGATTTGAAATAATATTTATACTTAACAAGAAATAATTAAAGATAAGTAGATTTTTGAATGATACAATTATATCATGATCACTTAACAATTTTAACTTAAAATTAGATGTATTATTACAAGCTTTTATTTAGCTTGCGTTATGTAAATAAAAGTATGTAGGTATGTTCGTATGTTGATGCAATTATCCTCAATCCTCAACCGACTGGGATAAAATTTTCCATACACGTTTATTTTGGATGATAGTGCATAGTTAGCTGAGAGTCGTCATTGGATAATAATGGTGGATAGCCTAAGATGTGTACTAGATATTTATTTTTAACATAATATGCGTAAGTACCTAATCGAATTAAAGAAGTTGCTGAGAAAAATACAGAACAATACGATAATAAACTAGCGTCTGCGTTTAATCCTCCGAGGAGATGTAATTTTACAAAGGTTTTTTGTATTTATTTTATTATTTTTTTAATAAATTTATTGTAAATAACAAGAAATAATCATTGTAAAAAAATAGGCACTCTATTGTTGAATTTTCGTCAGACCAACTAATCATCGTTCATTTTTTTAGGTTCAATGGGGAGACCTAAAGATTTACGCATATGGGAGCACTACCGTACTTTACCAAACAAGTCTGTTTCTTGCAAGCTTTGTAATAAGGTCTACAAATTCAGTAATGCTGCCAAAATGCTTCAACATCTTATCACTTGTCCAAAATCTCCAGAAACATTAAAAGACTCTATGAAACTTATAAAAGATAGCTCGTCCAAAACCAAAATGTCTGGACTGTCAGAGATAGAGACAAATGATTCTTTTATAAGCCCCTCGTCGTCTGCTAACACTACAATAAATGCTGAGTTTCAAGACACCGATGATCATATAAAAACAGAATTAGCGAGAGCTATATTTGTAACAGGGACGCCATTATCGATGGTGCAACATCCTTTATGGATACAATTTTTCGAAAAATTGCAACCAAAATTTAAAATACCTTCACGTAAAGCTTTAGCGACAAAATACTTAGATAAAATATATAGAGAAATGCGTTTTGAGTTAAATGAGGAACTAAATGCTTGTAGTTACTTACACCTTCAGTGCGATGGCTGGTCTAATTTAAGAAATGAAGGAATAATAAACTTTCTTATATCAAAACCTCAACCTCCATACGTTAAAAGTTTGAATACAGAAAGTAATCCTCACACTAGTGAATACCTTAGCCAAGAAGTTGAAAAAGTAATGAAAGTGTATGGAGCAAATAGGTTTCTTGTACTTATTGGCGATAACGCTAGAAATATACAAAAGGCATTCGAATTAACAAAACTCAAATATCCACATGTTGTTCCTCTCGGTTGCTGTGCACATATCCTTAACTTGTTGTGCCAAGATATTGTAAAGATACAAGAAGTAACTGTGTTTATTATGCAAGCCATAAATATAATAAAAACTGTTAAAAGGAGTCAACGATTAAGTTCCTTGTTGATAAAATCAAGGCAGGGTGAAGATTCTACACAAACACTAAAATTGCCTTGTGCTACAAGATGGGGAAGTCATGTTACTTCGTTAAAAAGTTTGAAAGCAAATAAGATAGCTTTGCAAATATTAACAGTTAGAGAAGATGTGGTAATTTCAAGAGATATTAAAGATTTAATTCTAAGTGATGATTTCTGGACGAAGACAGGGGAATGTATAAGTATTTTGGAACCAGTCACTGAAAGCATATTTTACTTAGAGAGCGACCAGAATCGTTTGCATCGCACATACATTACATTTAGAGATGTACAAGCTAAGATACGTTTTGCATTAAATGAGATTTCGACATTGAGCGAAGAAAGCAAACAGCAGATTCTAACATCAGTATCTTCAAGATGCAATATGGCAATGAGGCCAATACATTTTGCAGCATATATTCTAGACCCCAGGACTCTAGGAGTCGAACTAACTCAAGAGGAAGAACTTAAGGGTATGGAGTTTATCTACAATTTAAGCCAACACTTAAGTTTGTCAAATGTAATGGCAGATTTGGCGTGTTATAAAGCTAAAGAAAACTTTTGGGCCAGAGGATTTGTATGGAGCTCATTAGATAGCATTGAGCCCCTAATATGGTGGAAAGGTATTTGTGGTTCCACTGAGTTAAGCAAAGTAGCGATTCGTATTCTATCAGCTCCCTGTACTTCGGCAGCCACTGAGCGTTCCTTTAGTATCCAAGGCTACATACATAATAACAAAAGAAATCGACTTACAACTGAAAGAACTGAAAAAATTTCATTCATTTGTTATAACTGGAATCTTAAACATAAAGCTGAATGCGAGGACATTCAGTTTAATGAAGAAAATACCTTAGAAGCTTTCATTGAGCAAGTAAATGAACATAACAGTTTAGACGAAATAGAGCCTATCGAACCTATACAATTCATCGCTTGTAATAACTCTGAATCTGACAGTGATTGACTGTAGTTTTACATTTTACTTTCATCTCTTTCTTAATAAACTCAAAATCAAATTAAAAGTTTTTTATTCTGTAGGCTGCATAATAATATTGTCTATGTCCAGTATAGTGGACGTCTTGCGGCTGAGATGACGATGATGAAGTACAAAATCATAAACACCCAAAAATTTGGGTGTTTATGGGGTTTAAACCCAATAAACCCAAAACACCCGGTTTTTACCCACCAGACTTTAAACCCACCCAGGTGGATTGCCCATCTCTACCCGCCAGTGTATACCGATAGCGCAGGCGGGGTTACCGTTCCATTACTAATAACGAAAAGGGATTGTTAATAACGCAAACTACCTGTTGCATTGCTAGCAATGTACTTAGTCAGGTCGACCT